CCGGCGCCCATGTGGGATGGTGGCACTGCAGGTGGCGGCCCCAGAACGGATTATTTAAGAACAGTGGTTGGGGCCAAAGCATTGTGGCACAACAGGTTAAGCCACCATCTGCAGAGCTGACATCCCATATTGGCATTGGCAAATGGCTCCAGTTCATGTCCCGGCTACTCCACTTCTGATCCAGCTCCCTCCTAATGTGCCTGGGAAAGCAGCAGAAGATGGCCGAAGTGCACCCACGTGGGAGATCTGGATGAAGCTCCAGGTTCCTGTTTTTCGGCCTGGCCCAGCCCTGGCCACTAAGGGCATCAGAGGAGTGAACCAGCAGATGGAAGTTTTCTCTGTTACTCCCTCTCTCTGTAACTTTGGCTTTCAAATAAATAATAAATCTTAAAAAAAAAAAAAAAGCCAACAGGATGGCACTATAAAATTATGCATGAGAATACCAGACAGAGGACAAAAAGGGAAAGAGAAAGAAGAAATACTTGAAGCAATAATGAGTGAAAATTTCCCCAAATAAATATCAAATACCAGATCACAGATCCCAAAAAGTCAGAAAACACCGAACAGGATATATGCCCCGCCATGCCACTTATATTTAAATTGCAGAAAATAAAAAATAAAGAACAATCCTGAAACAAGTACACATTACCCATAGAGGAGCAAAGATAAGATTTACATTCAGCCTCTCCCCAGGTAGTATATAAGGGAGAGTAGATAGAGTTAAATATTTCAGTTTCCAGTATTCGGAGGAAAATAGCCTGTAGTTTACAATTTGTACTCTCTAAAATTCTTCTTCAATGGTGAATGAGAAATAGACTTTGAGACAAAGAAATTGAGAGTATATTTGGTTATCAGATCTGTTTTATAAGAAATATTAAAAGTTTTTTAAAGATTTACATATTTGAAAGAGCCCTGGAGAAAGAGGGGGAGAAACAGGTTTTCCATGGTTGACTCTCCAAATGGCTGCAGTGGCCGGGACTGGACCAGGAGCTTCATTGGGGTCGCCTCCAGTGGGCAGCAGGGACCTAAGCTCTTGGACCAACTTCCACTGCTTTTCTTAGGCGATTAGCAGGGAGCTGGACCAGAATGGGAGCAACTGGGACATGAACTAGTGCCCACGAGGGATGCTGGTGTTGCAGGCGGCAGCTTGACCTAGCGTGCCACAGTGCTGGCCCCAGATGTGTTCAATTCTTTACAGAGAAGGGAGACTGTGGAAGTTAGGAATCTAGTTCTGCAAGAGTATCAGAGAAGGAATAAATAAAGGCAAAATACCTTAATTGAGCTAATAGACAACAGTTCAAAATATTAGTAACTGTGTTTGATTGTGTTTGCTTATATAGATGTCTATGTAAATGTGGAATAAAGGACAGGAGGGATGAATTAGGATTATTATGTTATATTCACTACCCATGAAGTGGTATGGTATTATTTGAAAGTGGACATGGTTTGTCAGTGTTAGAATTAAATGGAAGACTAAATAAAAGTGGTGTGTGTGTATAGGGGTGGGGGAACCCCTACAGCTGACACCATACTTATGATGAGAATCTAGAGCAAAGATTCCCAATGTAATCATGAACAAAGGATGCCCCTTTGTTCAACATCTACTGGAAGTCTTATGCAGTAAGATAAAATGAAAGAGAAGCTTATACTAATTGGGAAGAAAGAAATAAAACTATTTGCAGATGGTATGATCACATATATGTTGAAAATCCAAAAGAATGGCAACAAGCAAACACAATGGAAACAACCTGCTGGAACCAGTGAGTAATTACAGCAAAGTAGTAGGAAGCAAGATGAATGAGGAATGTGGCATTTAAGAAGCACTACTGTTTCCATTAATACTCCAAAAAAGGACTAAGTAGGTGTAAGTCTACAAAATAGAAACTCTGTATGAAGATGACTTTAAAATATGGATCAAAGACACAGAAGAACTGAATGAGAGAATGTGTTTATGGAGAAGACTCAATATTACCAAGGTGTCAGTTCTTCCTAACTTGATCTGTAGATACAGTGCAATCCCAGTTAGAATCCTAGTGAGTGATTTTGTGTATATCAGCAAATTGATTCACAAGTGTATATGGAGAGGCAAAGACCTATAATAACCGACTCAGAATTGAAGGAAAAGAACCAAGTTGAGGTTTGACTCTGCTGACTTCAAGCTTCACTGTGAAGACAGTGTGCTATTGCTGACAGGACAGATAGATGAGTGGGACGGAGCAGAGAGGAAGAAATCGACCTGTGTAAATGCGGCCTAGTGATCGTTGACAGGGGAACAAAAGCAGTAAAAGTGGTGGTGGGAGGGCTGGGTATCCATGCTGCCAAAGAAGACATATGGATGGCAAATGAGAAAAGATGTTCCGCATCACTTGTCAACAGTAAATGCAAACTGGACCAACAATGAAATCCCATAAACCTCTTTGATTTGCTAAAACCAGCATACTGACTGCCAGCAATGATGGTGAGGGTGTGGAGCGACAACCTCATGTCTGTGTCTGGTTAGAATACTGAGGTACAGCCATTTTGAAAGGCGATTTGCCAGCTTCTTACAAAATTAGATGTGGTCTTAGCATACCGTATGATTTCAGTAGTCACAGGCCTTGATATTTAACCGAAAGGGGTTGAGTACCTAAGTCCGTATAGCAGCCTTCACATGGATGTTTATAGTAGCTTTTTTATGATTGCCAAAATTTGGAAGCAACAAAGATGTCTTTCATTAGGTGAGTGGATAAGTGAGCTGGGATGCATTGAGATACCAAGCCATGAAAAGACATGACTACGTGCACAAAGCCAATATGAAGATGCTACATATTGCATGATTCCAACTTTATGACATTTTGGAAAAGGCAAATTACAGTGACAGTAAAAAGGTTGATCCCAGAGATCATGGGGAGGAAGAGATTATTAAGAGTATAGAGGTTTTTATAGCAGCAACGGAGCTATTCTGTATGGTATAAGGCTGGATACATGTCACTGTTGGTTTGCCCAAACCCATACACTGTACGGCACCAAGAGTGAAGCCCAAGGTAAGCTATGTATTTTAGATGATAAGGATGTGTCAGGTAGGTTAATCAGTTGTGTTGGGCATTACCACTCTGGGGAGGATATGGGGAGACCTGGGGATGTATGGAGGCAGAGGCTGTAAAGGAAATCTCTACCGTATATTCAGCTGCTAAAACAGCAATATTAAATTTTAAAAATAAGGAACTAACAATGTTTTAAAGTCTTTTCTTTTTTGTAATTGTTGCTTAAAATATTGTTTTTCTAATAGAACGGTAATTTAGGTTCTTAACATTTTTTATGGCAAGAAGTATTTGCGTTTCTGAGATTTAGGTTTTGTTAATAAAAGAACATTTATAGTCCCAATTAGACTGTGTCCTTCAAATCATATGGGATAAGTAGGTTAACAGACCTCCCTCATCAGGGTGTGCAGGTCTGAATTAGTACATGTGAGGCTTGTGAATAGGGCTTTCTGCATAGTAAAGTGCTTGGCATTACTAATTGCTGATTGGGATGATGCTGAGACTGACCTCTCCATTGTCCTGGTGCCCGGCCCTGGTGGTCAGTAGGTCTCCTCTGGCCTTGGCAGACCCCTGCAGCATGTTTTGATGGCTAGCACTTTGTAATCAGTAGTGACAGTTTGAGTGGGGCTTTGCCTTTTTGTCCTGTGTGATTCAGAGCAAACTTTCACCGTTTCTTTTCTTGCCCTTCTCATCTCAAGAAATGCCCTTTCTCACCCGTTTTGCATTCTGAGCAGCCACACTGGACTTAATCTTTACCCAGATGCTGTAGTCTTTCCTATGTCTAGCCCATCGCACACACTGTTCCCTTTGGACAAGGCACATTCCTTCTCTCCCTCCCTGCTTGCTGTATTTGGTTCAGTCATGTGTGTGCTTTCTTTAAATGCCTCCTCTTTTTTTATTTTTTTTGACAGGCAGAGTGGACAGAGACAGAGAGAAAGGTCTTCCTTTTTCCGTTGGTTCATCCCCCAAGTGGCCTCTGCGGCCAGTGTGCTGCAGCCAGCGCACCGCGCCGATCCAAAGCCAGGAGCCAGGTGCCTCTCCTGGTTTCCCATGCGGGTGCAGGGCCCAAGGACTTGGCCCATCCTCCACTGCACTCCCGGGCCACAGCAGAGAGCTGGCCTGGAAGAGGGGCAACCAGGACAGAATCCGGTGCCCTGACTGGGACTAGAACCCGGTGTACCAGCGCCGCAGGCGGAGGATTAGCCTATTGAGCCGTGGCGCCGGCCCCTCCTCTTTTTTTTTTTTTTTTTTACGGATTTATTTATTTATCGGGGGCTGGTGCTATGGTGTAGTGGGTAAAGCCTCTGCCTGCAGTGCTGGCATCCCATATGGGTGCCTGTTGAGGCTACTTGGGGAGTGAACCAGCAGATGGAAGACACCTCTCTCCCTCTCCCCCCTTCCCCTCTCCCCCCTCCCTCTCTCACTCTCCTTCCCTGCCTCTCTCTCTAACTCAGACTTTCAGAGAGCAAGGTCTTCCATCTGCTCATTCACTCCCCAGGTGGCCACAATGGCTGGAGCTGCGCTGATCCAAAGCCAGGAGCCTGGAACTTCCTCCAGGTCTCCCACGTGGGTGCAGGGGCCCAAGGACTTGGGCCATCTTCCACTGCTTTCCCAGGCCATAGCAGGGAGCTGGATCAGAAGTGGAGCAGCCGGGACTCGAGCCAGCGCCCACATGGAATGCTGGCACTGCAGGCAGCGGCCTTTACCCGCTATGGCACAGCGCTGGCCCCATTTAAATGCCTCCTCTTAAGGAGACCTTTCCCCATTTGGAGTTTCCGGCTAGACAGTTCCCAGAGGAGTTGATGGAGTCTGCTGTGTTCGTTGTTGCATTCCCAGTTCTGGGCACACAGGAGGCTCCCAGTAAGTGCTGCACATGCGAATGAAAGAACTGCGTGCTGAAGATCATGTTACTCTGTAGAATTCAGTTAGCCTTATCTCAGCAACTGCCCTTGTTCTACAGTTTGTATTTTTTTCTTCTAGTAAAGCTGCTGAAATGCAGAAGCTGATTCTGTCCCATTGTAAGATGCCTTCGGAAAACTCCGCAGTTCTTTTACATGGCTCTTTAGAGCTTCGTGAGTTTCACTAGATACCTGCAGTCTTCACTTGGAGCTAAGAGGTATGCCGTCTTGTTTTTTATTTTTCTTAATCATGGCGGGGTGGGATTTGCAGGCTCCTAGTAGGAGCGCAGGACAAGAATTCTAAACATATTTGGAGCATGATGTACTCCTTTCCTTGGAAGATTTTATTTATATTTAGAAGATTCAGTCCTACAGGGAATGAAAAATTTATTCATTGGCATAATAACTGAAATGCAGATGTATTTTGTTTTTTAGCAATTCCTGAAATTTCTCAAAGTTACTAATAAGTGAGAATTTTAAACTTTTTGTCTTTTCTGAGTTGAAGGAACGTGATTTGCAGATGATTGAATAGTGGAATAAGTATTACTTCTTTTCTGTCAGGTTTTTAAAAAATATTTATTTATTTATTTGAAAGAGTTACAAAGAGAGAGGAGGAGAGGCAGAGAGAGAGAGGTCTTCCTTCCGTTGGTTCACCCCCCAAATGGTTGCTATGGCTGGCGCGCTGTGCCGATCCGAAGCCAGGAGCCAGGTGCTTTCTCCTGGTCTCCCATGTGGGTGCAGGGCCCAAGCACTTGGGCCATCCTCCACTGCCTTCCCGGGCCACAGCAGAGAGCTGGACTGCAAGAGGAGCAACTGGGACAGAACCGGTGCCCCAACCGGGACTAGAACCCGGAGTACCGGTGCCACAGGCAGAGGACTAGCCTAGTGAGCCGCAGCGCCGGCCATCGTTTATTGTGTTTTGAAAGATGTAAGAATGAGGATCTATTTTAGTATTTCTCAGCGATATGTTAATAATTGCAGATAGTCTTTGAGCATTTATTTTGTCTCAGGCATGGTATAAGCACTTTACATTTAATGGTTTATTTCATACTGGTAACACATTCCTTTGATTTGCTGGGTGTTTTCACTTCCAGTTAAAATTCAGCTGTGGCATAGTGGGTAAAGCCACTGGCTGCAGTGCCGGCATCCCATATGGGTGCCGTTTGAGTCCTGGCTGCTCCACTTCCGATCCAGCTGTCTGCTATGGCCTGGGAAAACAGTAGAAGATGGCCCAAGTCCTCGGGCCCCTGCCCCGACGTGGGAGACCCAGAGGAAGCTCCTGGCTCCTGGCTTCGGATCGGCACAGTTCTACCGTTGTGGCCATTTGGGGAGTGAACCAGTGGATGGAAGACCTCTCTCTCTCACTCTCTGCCTTTGCCTCTGCCTCTCTCTAACTCTGCCTTTCAAATAAATAAATAAATCTTAAAAAAAAAAAAAAAGAAAGAAAGAAACAGAACTCAGGTGCCAAGCTTCAGAAGGCTCAAGTTCTTGTTTTTGTTTTTAGCTAATTGATTTGAAAGAGTGAGATCACAGTCTTCTGTCCATTTGTTCACTCCCCGAATGACAGGGCTGGGCTGAGCCGAAGCCAGGAGCCTGGAACCCTCCCATGTAGGTGGCAGGGCTCAAGTTTTTGGGTTATCTTTTGCTGCTTTCCCAGGCCTGTCAACAGGAAGCTGTGTCAGAAGTGGAGCAGCCAAACTTGAACTGATGCTCCTATGGGATGCCAGCATAGAAGGCGCCTGCTAACCTGCTGCGTCGCAGTGCCGTCCCCAAGTGTTCTTAAGTCTTTTGTTAAATACAAACTGGAAACTTGTGATCTGGAATTTAAAATAGAAAACTAATCATTTTCTTTTTCTACCATCTTAGAGTTTTCTAGTTTGTAGTAATATACAGCGTTAGTTTTAAGTTAGGATTTCTGTTGTCCTCGTAATGTGAGAAGGATCCACATACCTAACAATTTTTAAGTAACTGTGTTGACAAAGAAAGTAAATATGACCTTTAGTACCCAGATAAGAGGCAGACTTAATATAGAAGCTAGCTTTACTAGACTCTTCAATTCTACTGACAACCAAAATAACAAAAAAATTAAGATTTTAAAAAACAAAGGACTGATCTAGTGTTACTAACTTTTGCTTTTTCATTGAAGTGTAACATACATATCGTAAAGTGCATGAGTCCTGAGCATCATTTCGATGAATTTTATGAAGTCTACAGCCGTCTAACCAATATCAGGAACAAGGTTTGCACGTTTTCATCAACCCAGGACCCTCCTTCACGCACCTGACGGTTACTACACACTCCCAGAGGTAACTGTTGTTCTGACTTTTATTCACTGTCCTTTTATTGTCTGTTTTGAATTCTTTGTGTGGCTTTTTCATCCATGTTAGTGCATGTAGCAGCAATTCATCTTTTATGTCAGTGTTGTTAAGTACTTCATTGTGTGAATATACCATAATTTATCCAGTCTAGTGTTGATGGGTGTCTCGGCTATTTCTAGTTTCTGTTGTGAACATTCTTGAGCATATCTGTTGGTCTACATATGGAACATAATTCTTTTTTTTTTCCAAAAGAATATTTTATTTAAGATTTTTAGCTTTCTGAGGTGTCTCCACACTGTTTTCCATAGTGGCTTTTTCAGTTTACATTCCCACGAGTAGTGGATTAGGGTACCTTTTCCCTCACATCTTCACCAGCATTTGTTGTTTGTTGATTTCTGTATGAAAGCTGTTTTAACTGGGAGGAGGTGAAACCTCATTGTAGTTTTGATTTGCATCATTTTCTTTTTTAAATTATTTATGTTTTAGAGGGAAACAGAAAGAGCATGTCGTCCACTGATTACCTCACTGAAATGTCCACAACAGTTGGGGGCTAAAGCTGAGGCCAGGAACTCAACCCAGGTCTCTGATGTGGGTGGTGTATTGAGTCATCGTCAGTCAGGTGCCTCCCATGGTCTACACTAGCAGGAAGCTGGAATCAGGAGCCCAAGCCAGGCATTGAACGCAGGCACTCTATGTGAGACGTGGGCCTCCTAACCAGCATCTTAACCACTAGGCAAGCACCCTTGCCTGGGCACATTTTTGTCGAGAGAAACAGCTGAGGTCATAGAGTATTTGACTGTTTAGTTGTAGAAGATTCACTTAGACTCTCAAGTGGTGGAATCATTGGGCTGGTGCTGTGGCATAGCAGGTAAAGCTGCCACATGTAGTGCCGACATCCCAAATGGGTGCTGTTTCAATTCCTGGCTGCTCTGCCTCCGATCCAGCTCTCTGCTATGGCCTGGGAAAGCGGTAGAATATGGCACAAGTTCTTCGGTCCCTGCACCCATGTAGGAGACCTAGAAGAAGCTCCTGGCTTTGGGTTGGTTCAGCTCCAGCCATTGCGGCCATTTCATAAGTGAACCAATGGATGGAAGACCCCCCCCCGCCCCCCACACACACTGTCTCTGCTTCTGCCTTTCAAATAAATCAATCTTTATTTTTTTTTTAAAAAAAGTGGTTGCATCAACTGAAACTCTATCAGCAGTGTACAAAAATTCTGTTTGTTTCACTTGTTCACCTACACTTGAAATTATTACTGTTAAATTTTGGCTCCTATAGTTTATGTGCAGTGAAAAGTCATTGTTTTTCCATATGCCTCTTGACCATTTGTATTCTTTTGAAAGATTCTGTTCATTCCCCCTGGGCTGTGGGTTTTCTGTTGGATTATCTGTCTTGCTTATCCCAAAAGTAGATAATCTCAGTTGTTTGGTAAGTTAAGTATTGGAGATTATCTTTCCCCTTCTTTGACTTGCTTTTCCAGTCTCTTTAATCTTTGTCGCTCCCCCTCTTCGTGGAGGAACGACACAGGACCCTGCGCTGCTCGGCCCTCCCCGGGTTTGCTGCTGGTTCTTCCCGGGTTGGCTACTATCCCTTCCACCTCCGTGGAAGGGCAGTTCCCCCTGGCCACATTCCCCACTTCCGCAGGGGAGCGGCACACTGCCGGCCGGCTCTCTCGGGGTCTGCACAGGTGTTCCCCTTAGATGTTCCCCCTAGATGTTCCTGGTGCATGCCGTCTCTCTCCTCCTTTATAGTCCTCCTCTGCCAATCCTAACTCGGCTGCCCACACGCCGAGTACGCTGCTCTCCTCCAATCAGGAGCAAGTCCTACAGTTTATTGGCTGAACTGGAGGCAGCTGTGTAGAAGCTGTTTTCTTCTCTCCCAGCGCCATATTGTGGGAGAGCAGATGCATAGAATAAGTCTTAATTCCAGTAACTTAGTCCAGTCCGGATTGCTCCCCACAATCTTAATTCTTTTCTTAGATTTACTTATTTGTTTGAAAGTCAGAGTTACAGAGAAAGAGGTCTTCTATCTGCTGTCATTCCCCAAATGGCTGCAATGGCTGGAGCTGGGCTGATCTGAAGCCAGGAGCCTGGAGCTTCTTCCAGGTCTCCAATGTGGATGCGGGGGCCCAAGGACTTGAACCACCTTTTTCTGCTTTTCCAGGCCATAGCAGAGAGCTGGATCAGAAGTGGAGCAGCTGGGACTCGAACCTGTGCCTATATGGGATGCTGGCACTGCAGGCCTCCTGGAGGCCTTACCTACTACACCACACTGCCGCCCTGAAAATTCTTTAAAGTGTGGGAGCCAGCATCGTGGCACAGCGGGTAAAGCCTCTTCCTGTGATGCTTTCAGCCCCTCTCAGTGCTGGTTCATGTCCTGGCTGCTTCACTTCTGATCCAGCTGCCTGCCACTGGCGGGAAAAGCAGCTGAGGATGGCTCAAGTGTTTGGGCCCCTGCCACCCACTTGGGAGACTCTGAAGAAGATCTTGGCCCCTGGCTTCTGCCTGGCCCAGTCCTGGCTGTTGTGGCCATCTGGGGAGTAAACCAGTAGGTGGAAAATACTCTCTCTTTCTCTGTCTCCCCCACCCCTCACCCCATAACTCTGACTTTAAAATGAAATAAGTAAATTTTTAAGAAATATTTTAAAGTATGATTATACTGTGGTTGTTTTTAAAAGTACTTGTCGTGCCTAGGTACAAATGCATTGTTTACGGAAGAAATCATACTGTTTGTGATTTGCTTCGAATAAGCCAAAGGAGGAAGGGGAAGGGCAGAATAGATGAAATAAGATCAGCCATAGAGTGATGCTTGAAACTGGATGATAGGTACATATGGAATTAAGTACATTTTTCTTCTTTCTTTTGTTGAAATATCCAACAAAAATAGGATTTAAAAAGTGTTGGAAATACACAAAGATATAAAGATCCAAGAACTCAGAGTACCTCTTAAACCCTCATGCACTAATTCATTACTTTGAAAATAATTGATAAAGGAAAAAAATCAACTGTCCCTATTTTTCTGTACAGATTATATTCCAGGAATACTGGACAATTAAGAGGGAGACTGTCTTCAGCTATTAAGAACAGCTGGAGGCCGGCGCCGCGCCTCACTAGGCTAATCCTCCGCCTTGCGGCGCCGGCACACCGGGTTCTAGTCCCGGTCGGGGCGCCGGATTCTGTCCTGGTTGCCCCTCTTCCAGGCCAACTCTCTGCTGTGGCCAGGGAATGCAGTGGAGGGTGGCCCAAGTACTTGGGCCCTGCACCCCATGGGAGACTAGGAGGAGCACCTGGCTCCTGCCATCGGATCAGTGTGGTGCGCCGGCCGCAGTGCGCCGGCCGCGACAGCCATTGGAGGGTGAACCAACAGCAAAGGAAGACCTTTCTCTCTGTCTCTCTCTCTCTCACTGTCCACTCTGCCTGTAGAAAATAAATAAAAAAGGAACAGCTGGAGGGTGATAGGGTTAGATAGTCGGCAAAGCACAATGCTTTCTGAAACAGTGACTCCAGATAAGGATCAGTCAATGATTACTAAAGCCGGTAGTAGTAAAATTTGTTGAGAATTGGGTAAAAGATGGTTGATAGGCCAAGATGGAGTAAGTCTGTCTCTCATTGATTAAAACTATGCATAGAATACCAAAATTATCAGTCTGAAGGCTGGAAAATAAATAATAGTGGACAGATTGGGGAAGGGAAGTTTGAACTTAACGTTTTGTATAATGTATAATACAGCTTTGACTAAATGGTGCGCTGGCTTGCAGAATGGAATGTGGCATGCAGCAGTTAGCAGAATCTCCAAGTGAAACCCCTCCTAGCCACAGGACACAAAAAGACGCCTCTCCCTGCCTTTTTTTCCTCTCCCAGCCCTGCCAACACTCCCACTTGTAAAATTACATTACCATGGCCTCACAAGCACTTAAATGGCCAGAGTACTGGTAAATAGCCCCCTGCAAGCTGAGGCATGCTTTGGAAATGCCAGGGAAGAGAGCTGGTGTAGGTTTCCCTAATTGTGTGGACCCCTGCTGGTCCGTCTCATTCATAGCTGCACGTGCACAGAGCAGAGAATTAGTGAACTGAGCTAAAATTGCTGCAGGGTCCCAGAGAGCCCAGCCACAGACAGCTGACCCTACACTGAAGCCACTGCCCGTAGAGACAAGCTAGAACCTAGCGTCTCATAACCCAGTTCTGAGAATGTCTGTGGGGTGGGCATTGTGGTGAGTTGGGTTCAGCCTCTGCTTGGAGCACCTGCGTCCGGGATTGGACTGCTCCTCTGAATACCAGCTGATCCGCTTCCTGTCCAGCCCTGCCAGCCTCCTCCTAGTACACTCTGGGAGGCTGCAGACCGTGGCTCCTGTGTATGGGCTTTTGCCACCCACGTGGAGATTTGGGAGGAGTTCTGGGCTCTAGGGAGCGAATCAGCAGATGTAAGCTCTTCTCTCTGTATCCCTCTCTACCTATCTTTGTGCTGCCTTTCAAGTAGATAAAAACATTTAAAAAATATAGAAGATACGGAAGTTTAAAAAAGATTGGAATATAGTGTAAAATTCCTTGACATACAAATAGGAAAATCTGACTGTTTTAAGGGAAAGGACAATAAAAATATTAACCATGAGATGACCCAGATGAGAGAACTATTAGGAAAGGACCTTAAAGCAGCTCATGCTCATGAAATAAAAGTCAGATAGAAGGAGTGAAGTTGAAGATGAAAATCAGTCGGAAAGTCCGCACTGCACTCTGTGAGCCCTGGTCCCAGCCGACTAGTGTAGTTTGATGTTTGTCTTGGGTTAGAATCATCTCTGGTTGTCAGAGGTCTGATTTATAAAACTGATTTGTGATGTGATTCTTAACAGTCAATTTAAGTTGATCTTGGAAAATATGGAATCGGGAATTTTTAAATCTTAATATTTTACAGTCAGTTGTAGACTATGTTCCTATTCACTATTGAATAAATTCAGAACTGTTTAATTTCTTTTTTTTTGTCAATAAGACAGTAGTTAAAAGAAAGTTTTTCTTTTTAAAGATTTTATTTATTTATTTGAGAGGTAGAGTTGCAGACAGAGAGAGGTAGAGACAGAGGGAGAGGTCTTCTATCCACTGCTTCATTCCCCAAATGGCCGCAAAGGCCAGAGGTGGGACCACTTGAAGCCAGGAGCCTGGAGCTTCTTCTAGGTCTCCCACGTGGGTGCAGGGGCCCAAGGACTTGAGCCATCTTCCACTGCTTTCCCAGGCCATAGCAGAGTGCTGGCCAGAAGTGGAGCAGCCGGGACTGAAACAGGTGCTATGTGGGATGCCGGCACTGCAGGTGGCGGCTTTACAGGCTGCACCACAGCACCAGGTCCAAGGAAAGGTTTTAATTTGAGCTTTTGTAGGTTAAAGTTTTGCTCAGATAATTATCTTCTCAGTTATAATATAAGCTTAGTAATATACAGAAGCAAGTTGGAATTTCTCATAAATGGTGATAAACATGCTTAAGGATTATTCTTGGGTTTTATATTATAGCAGTCAAGTTAAATTTTTAAAAATTATTTAAATTTAATTTAATTTAATTTTTTTGAAAGAGCCATGGTAGGTGGGGGTGCAGAGAGCTTCCATTTGCTGATTCATTCCCCAAATTGCTGCAGCAGCTGGGGCTGAGCCAGGTCGGAGCGGGAAGTCGGGAACTCAAGTACTTGAGCCATAACCACTGACTCCTGGGGATCATATTAGCAGGAGGCAAGAATCAGAGCAGAACTAGGACTCAAACCCGGGCACTTTGATATGGGATGGCAGTGTCCCAAGCGGTGCCTTCACTTGTCTTGCCAAAGCTCACCCCTAAGTGCTGCTTTTAGTTAATGTTACTACATCTGTCTGTCCTTTTTGGATATTTTTTGATACTAAATTTAAGAAATTTGCCTTCCAAAATAGGTCACTGGGTCAGTAGGGTATTAGGTTAGAAAAAGTTGGGACCAGCGCCATGGCTCACTTGGTTAATCCTCCGCCTGCAGTGCCAGCATCCTGTATGGGTGCCAGTTCTAGTCCTGGTTGCTCCTCTTCCAGTCTAGCTCTCTGCTGTGGCCTGGGAAGGCAGTGGAGGATGGCCCAAGTGCTTGGGCCCTGCACCCGAATGGGAGACCAGGAGAAGCACCTGGCTCCTGGCTTCGGATTAGTGCAGTGCCGGCTGTAGCGGCCATTTGCGGGGTGAACCAATGGAAGGAAAACCTTTTTTTCTCTGTCTCTCTCACTAACTCTGTCAAATAAATTAAAAAAAAAAAATACTGCTTATTGTAGTTTGAATTTTTTTTAATTTAGTTTGGGTTAACCGTTTTTTGACTATTGTCTTTATTTATTTATTTATTTTTGACAGGCAGAGTTAGACAGTGATAGAGACAGAGAGAAAGGTCCTCCTTCCGTTGATTCACCCCTCAAGTGGCCGCTATGGCTGGTGCGCTGCGCATCTGAAGCCAGGAGCCAAGCACTTCCTCCTGGTCTCCCATGGGGTGCAGGGCCCAAGCACTTGGGCCATCCTCCACTGCCTTCCCAGGCCACAGCAGAGAGCTGGACTGGAAGAGGGGCAACTGGGACAGAATCCAGCGCCCCAACCGGGACTAGAACTTGGGGTGCCGACGCCAAAGGCGGAGGATTAACCAAGTGAGCCGCGGTGCTGGCCAACTAATGTTTTTAAATTATTAATTAAAATGAAAAGTAAAAGGTGTTTTTCACTCATTTAACTTATGTAAATAATACCTAGGGAAATAGTCTGGTTTCTCCAGGTTTTTGTTCTCTAGAAGAGATGAAGTATTTTGTCTTAGCTTCTTAATATATCACTGGTGCTCTAGTATTGAGTAGTTAAAAAGAAAAAAGTAGCACTTAACTTTCCTAATTATGAAAATAATGCATGTTCATAGGATAAGTTTTAGAAAACACTAAAGCAAAAAAATCCTTAAATATGTGAGAGCAGCATGGGGAATGCTTCAGTGTATTAGGTGATTTTTTTAACATTTTGATACCACTGTTACTGCAATTTAATGTATAAAATCTCTCTTTACTGTCTTAAATAATATCACAATGAATGTAAAACTTTCAGTACATCTCTGATTATTTCTTTCTTAAAGTGAAATTGCTGGATCAAAGGACATAAATATTTTCAAGTCATAGATAACATCCCACAAAATTGTTTTAGTAAAAAAGGAAAGTTCCTAGTTTGTATATTCCTCTGCTTCTAGTTTGTTCAGTGTTTTTGATCATGAAAGGGTGTTGAATTTTGGCAAATGCTTTTCTGCATCAATTGACAGCCTCTGATTTTCATCCTGTGTTAATGTTGATGGCGTGGAACAATCCATTCATCCTGGGGATAAATCCCACTGATCCTGATGTGGGATCCTGTTGATGTGCTGCTGGATTTGGTTTGCTTAAATCTAAACTGGGGGTCTTGTAGACAATAAGTAATTGAATTGTGTGTGTGTGTTTTTCAGTCACCTTTTTTTTTTTTTTTGGACAGGCAGAGTGGACAGTGAGAGAGAGAGAGAGAGAGAGAAAGGTCCTCCTTCCGTTGGTTCACCCCTCAAGTGGCCGCTGTGTCCGGTGTGCTGCGCCGATTCAAAGCCAGGAGCCAGGTGCTTCCTCCTGGTCTCCCATGGGGTGCAGGGCCCAAGCACCTGGGCCATCCTCCACTGCCTTCCCGGGCCACAGCAGAGAGCTGGCCTGGAAGAGGGGCAACCAGGACTAGAACCAGGGATGCCGGTGCTGCAGGTGGAGGATTAGCTTAGTGAGCCACGGCGCCAGCCTCAGTCACCTTTTTGATTGAGGAATTTAATATACTTATATTTGAAGTAATTATTGATAAGAAAAGGCTTATTTCCTGTCTGCCCTGTAACTCTTTTTGTTTCTATTTTTCTTTCTTGCTCTGTTCCTCTGTGTTTTGTTGATGTTCTTGTATGATTATTCTTTGATTCCTTTCTCATTTATTATGTCTTGTATAAGTATTTTTTGTGGTTACAATAGGATTTATAGAAAACAGCCATCTCGGCTGGCGCCGTGGCTCACTAGGCGAATCCTCCGCCTTGCCGCGCCGGCACCCCGGGTTCTAGTCCCGGTTGGGGCGCCGGATTCTGTCCCGGTTGCCCCTCTTCCAGGCCAGCTCTCTGCTGTGGCCAGGGAGTGCAGTGGAGGATGGGCCAAGTCCTTGGGCCCTGCACCCCATGGGAGACCAGGAGAAGTACCTGGCTCCTGTCATCGGATCAGCGCAGTGTACTGGCCGCAGCGCGCCGGCCGTGGCGGCCATTGGAGGGTGAACCAACGGCAAAGGAAGACCTTTCTCTCTGTCTCTCTCTCTCACTGTCCACTCTGCCTGTCAAAAAAGAAACAGCCATCTGTTTTAAGCTGATACCAACTTAAATTTCAATTGCATACAAAAATATTTTTTACTCCTTGCCCACTTTACATTATCACAAATCGCATCTTTTTTATATTGTGTACTCAGTAACATATTTTCATATAGTCATTTTTAATAGTTTAGCTTCTATACCAGAATTAAAAATGATTATTTTAGTTTGTTCATGATTTTTAAGTTATTTTGTTTTCTTTTAGAAACAATTTGAGAATTTAAAATGTGCTAACAGAGATTTTTTGTGATATTGTTCTAAATTTTATATTTACAAATTTTTAAAGACTATTTTTCATGATAAACTTCTGTGTGTATTGAATAAATCTAACATAACTTTTTCTTGTTCAAACAGAAACCTGAGACTGATTGTCAGTCATATAGAGGAATACCTTGAATCTGTAGTTTTCTGAAGAATCAATTCAAGATATCCAGAAAGTACAAAAGGTAAAGAAAAGGGCATCTTAGAATACACGGTGGGATATTTTGCTAGAAAAGAATGTAAAAGAACCCATGAGGCATTTGGTACACTAATTTGAGGAAAGTTTTACTGTAAACATTTTCCTTCCATGTTAATTTATCCCAGAACATTGATTGTGCACCAGCTATGTTCAGGTATTATTTTAGATAACTAGAAAGATGGTGAAGAATAAGACAGAAAATGTCCATTCTCTTTTGAAGGTTGAGTTCTAGAGAAAGACAACAAATGAGAAATTTGTGATTAGTACCATGTGAGAAATTCACATGGATGATGTCATAGACTGGTGAGTACTTTCATTAGGTAGCCAGAGAAGGCACTGTGGGAAAGAGGCTGTTTAACTGTGTTCTGAACAGCATGAGGGTGCCAGCCCTTTGAGGATTTGCAAGAAGAACTTATGAGGCAGTGACAATGGAGTGACCGTGGCATGCTTGAGTAATGGAAGGAGCAGGTGTGATTGGGGATCACACTGGTGAAGAGTTCCAGAAGCAAGTCCAGCTTTCCACAAATCAGTGTACCAAGTGCTTCATGGATTCTTTTACATTCTGTTCTAGCAAAATATCCCACCGTGTATGATGTTTTAGATACCTGTAAAATCTGTAGAGAGATTGAAAAGGCAGTTGGATGTGACTCTGCAGTTGAAAATCTGGTCTGTGTGTATGGCTTTTGGGAGTCATTGACATAGGAAGTATTTGGAGTCATATGTAGATGCAGTTATTTAGTGAGTATACACAGACTGGGATGGATGCAGCCCTGGCACATGCCAGTATTAATCAGAAGAGAAGGAAAAGCCAGTGAAATATGTGGCTAAGAAGGAAAGTGTTCCATGATAGCAACCCAAAAAAAGCATTTAATAAATGCAGAAGTTGTCATCTTCATCACATGCTACTAAGAAGTAAGTGAGTAGAGTAAAGCAACCATTGGATTTGGCAATATAGATATTTCTGTTCACCGATAAGTGAACCACGGGGCCAGCGCTGTGGCCTAGCGGGTAAAGCCGCCGCCTGCAGTGCCAGCATCCATATGGGCGCTTGTCCAAGACCTACCTGCTCTACTTCCAATCCAGCTCTCTGCTGTGGCCTGGAAAAGCAGTGGAAGATGGCCCAAGTCCCTGGGCCCCTGCACCCTCATGGGAGACCTGGAAAGAAGCTCCTGGCTCCTGGCTTCAGATCGGCGCAGTTAACAGCCGTTTCGGCTATTTGGAGAGGGAACCAGCAGATGGAAGACCTCTCCCTCTGCCTCTACCTCTGCCTCTCTGTGGCTCTGCCTTTAAAATAAATAAATAAATCTTAAAAAAAAAATAATAAATAAAAGTGAACCACCTCAGTGGTGTGTTGGGTGAAGCCTCAATGAGAGTGATGGGAGAGATAGGACTTCTAGTTGGAGGCAACAAACAGTACAGTTAAATCTCATTTCCTCTTGAAACCTCACACCTCACTAAAGCTGAAGTGAAAGGTTTTCACAAAAGACGTAACCTCACTATGATGAGAAAAATGAGAATGGAGACAAAAGCAATACAGTTTTGGAACCTTGAAAGTAACAGGAATACCAGTAACATTCTCGTAGATCCTGGAATCCTAAGCTAGCTGCGAGAAAGCTGAAAAACAGACCTCTTGGCGCTGTAGAACCTCTAAAACTTTTGTGAATTGAATGTGTTCTTTACTTCTGGGAATAGGAGTGATGATGACATTGGACAGAGTAACTAGCTGTAAATCTATTTAAGAGGCAGTTGTACTCCATAATGTGTTTCTTGACCTTGGAACCAAGGCAACTGCCCCTTTCCCTATCTTAGCGGAAGTCTAGAGGTTTATTTTCTAGTGAAGATAAAAGAGAGGAGCAACAAACATTGCTGAGAATGCAGATAACATGCTGAAACCGGGATGAAGAACCAGGCCACCTGGGCTTTATACCGATTCTTTCCTGCGGAGACTATGATTAGCCTAAGAGGAAAGATCTGACGACACTGACATTGAGAATCCCCAAGAAGGTGTTCCAGCCTGATATCCCTGCAGTACAGTGGACAGTGACAAGCCAGACACACAGAGCCTGCAGTGCTCTCTACTGTGAACCTGTGACCTGAGGTCCCTGGACACCCGAGGAAGACCTCTCATGCAAGACACAGAAAGCAGCGAGGTGGAGAGATGGAGACCAGCAGGCAGGTCAAAATGAAACAAAGTCATCCTTTAAAAAAGTTTCATAAAGGTAAGGGGAGGTGCCACATGCATTAAGTAAAAAAGAGAAACAAGAAAGGACATTAAAAATGAAAAACTCAATAAAATTTTCACTTTGAATTTTATTTTTTACTTTGGAAGTAAAATTGATACTTTTGACTGTAAAGCAAAAATGGGAAGTGAGAAAGAAAAAATAAGAAAATTAGAGCAACTGTCCAGAATCCTGAACTGTCAAATAATAGACATTACAGAAAGAACAGAGGAAATAGAACCAATTATAGGGGATGATTCAAGAAGATTCTCCAGAACTAGATGTCACGTGTTTTCAGTTAGAAGGAACCTGTTGAGTGACTAGTGCAGTTAAATTTTTGAACACAATGAGCTCCCAGGTTGAAAGAAGTAGTAGGTCATATAAAAAGGAACAGTGATGAGACAGGCTTTGGACTTCTTGATACCATGCTGGAGACAAGACAACAGAGCCTTCAGAATCCAAGACAAAATGATTTCAACCCAGTATTCAGTATGGATGTGAACTGCTGATTAAGGAAAGACTAGGGACAGATAGTGTGGCCCAGTGGTTAATTTGCACTTGCAACAATGCCTGCATCTCGTTATTGCAGTACCTGGTTTGAGTCCTGGCTGCTCTGTTTCTGACTGAGCTTCTTGCTGATGTGTATGCCGGGAGCAGCAGGTGGTGAGTCGAGTACTTAGGCCATGCCATCATATGGGAGACAGACCTGGGTGGAATCTGGCTCCTGGCTTCAAGCCTGGCCCAGCCCTGGCTGTGCAGCCATTTGGGGAGTGAACCAGTGGATGGCAGAGCTCTCTCGGTTTCTCTCTCTCTCTGCCTTTCAGATAAAATGAAAAATAACAGATTTTAAAATTTAGAGAAAAGGATAGACTAATGACAGTTTCAGACTTGTGAGATCTGATTGACCTGCCATGTTCCTTTCCTTAGACAGCTATTGGAAGAGGAAATCTGACTAAAAAATGGTGGAGGCATAGGATCCACAAAACAGAATACATCTTAACCAGAGACCAAGGAGGTCACCAGGGTTATGGTAGACAGTGATCACAAGATGACAGTTAGTCACCAGCTGTAACAGACAGCACCCAGTCCTAACGCGAACAGGTGTTAGAAGGTTCTAAGAGAAATAGCTGTGAGAAGGATAATTGGTAGAATATGTAATGTGTTTAAACATACAAAGAGTAGATTTGGGCAGGGAAGAGTTGGGAATAAACTGGTAATAAGTATATACAAAACCGGGTTTACAAAAAAGCAAAGCGACATTTATGTGTAAGAAAAACTGCTCAGAAAGGGAAAGTAATTACAGTATTCTGCATGACTCCAATGCGGACTGCATCCATGGTCGTGATAACGTTAACTTCACATACAACCACCTTACCAGTCAGGATAATAGGAACCGTACATGTGAACGAGGCAAGATGAGGCAGGTAGAGCTTTCTTATTAAGTGGAATTCAACACATGGTGCCTGGAGAACAAGCCACCTTTGAGCGCAAAGGGAGACACTTAATACTGCATTGAAATGACCCAAGTCAGCTGAGACTGCCTAGGCACCCTAACTAAAACTGAAAAAAAATTAACAAAATAAAATTTAGGTAAAGGAAACTAAACACCAAAACAGTTAAACATGTGAAAGTGGTTAAATGGGGTCAGATATTAGAGGACTTCTAATTTTTAATTCATTTTTTTTGAAGATTTATTTATTTTATTTGAAAGTCACAGTTACACAGAGAGAGAAGGAGAGAGAGAGAGGTCTTCCATCCGCTGGTTCACTTCCCAATTGGCCGCAATGGCCGGAGCTGTGCCAATCCAGAGCCAGGAGCTTCTTCTGGGTCTCCCATGCGGGTGCAGGGGCCCAAAGACTTGAGTCAACTTCCACTGCTTTCTCAGGACCCAGCAGAGAGCTGGATGGGAAGTGGAGCAGCCAGATCTCAAACAAGTGCTCCTATGGGATGCTGGTGCTACAGGCAGTGGCTTTACCCACTACGCCACAGCGCCTGCCCCATAATTTTTTAAAATACTTATTTGAGAGGCAGTTACACAAAGGCAGAGGCAGAGAGAGAGAGGTCTTCCATCTGCTGGTACATTCCTCAAATGGCCGCAACAGCACGAGCTGAGCTGATCTGAAGCCAGGAACCAGGAGCTACTTGGGGGTCTCCCACTCAGGTGCAGGGACCCAAGCACTTGAGCTGTCTTCTGCTTTCCCAGGCCACAGGAGAGAGCTGGATCAGGAGAGGAGCAGCCAGGACTTGAATCGGTGCCCATATGGGAGGGCGACCCTGCAGGTGGTGGCTTTAACCTGCTATGCCGCGGTGGGTGTTGGCCCCTAATTTTGTAACTTTTTTTTTAACATTTAATTTTATTTGAAAGGCAGAGAGACAGAAGGAGGTCTCCCATCTGCTGATTTACTCCCCAGATACCTGTGATAGTGGGGCTGGGTGTGGCCTGGCCAGGTTCATGCCGGGAGCAAGGAACTCCATCTGGGACTCCCACATAGGTGCCAGTGACCCAAGTACTGGAGCCATCACTACCTGGGCCATTTTCTACAGCTTTCCCAGGCCATCAGCAGGGAGCTGGATCGGAAGTGGAGCAGCCAGAACTTGAACTGGTGCCCATATGGCATGCCGGCGCCATAGGCAGAGGCTTAGCCTGTTATGCCATAGCGCTGGCCCCATGCAGTTTATTTTTAACAGTGTGGTGTTTTCTGTTTAAGGTTTCTGTTCTAAGGATAGACTGCCAGAGACTGAAATCTTGTATAATGATGTATAATGTTGCAGGGGAATCACAAACAGAACTGCTTCCATACTTGGCAAAATTTGAATGTCCATACCATTTCTTAGTCACTAATAGCTCCCCATTTGATGAATGTTTTTTAAAGCTATCTCTGAAAATGATGTTTATAAGACTCTTCCGTCATTGCCCCCGTCATCATAAAGCAGTAAGGTGGTGGGAGCTCAGGTGGGAGGCCAGATCACTGGTGGCTGTGAGCACAGGCTGCTTAAGTGAGAGAGCATTGGATTCCTCACTGGGACTTGATCCTTTGTAATTGTGAACTTTGGATTCTAGTAACTGTTGAGCTTTCCAAAGTCATATAATTGTATATCACTGTGATGTATTAATATGAAACTTAAAATTTTTAATAATGTATTACTACATACTTGAAATTCCTCTTCAGCTTGTGTAGAATATAGCATAGGCAAGTGTGACTCCTGCTCGTCTTTGGATTGAAAGCATGGAGCCCAGGGTAGTCCCCCGTCACTCCTCCGTTTGTGTACCTGACGCCACTTAAAGGCGGGGATTCGCCTTTCAGCAGTTGCTGTAGGGTGCTCGGTTGGCCCTGCCTCACTTCTTCTGCCTTTCTCTTAAAGGAGGAGTAGGGAACCTTTTAGGCCCATGGGCTGTATAAGGCCCACAAAATCATGTGGTCTGGCCCTGCCAAGCAACTGCAGATGGGACTCAAAACTCAGTGAATCTTCAGCAGGCTCAATTTTCAGCTGATGATTTCATATGGCCTGTGAGTGATGTTGTAAGTATTCAAAGGAGCCTTGGCAACAAAGAAGTTCCCCACCCCTGCCAATAGCATGTCTGTCAGCTGGCTGCAAAGCAAAGGAGAGATCGTGGGCTAGACTGTTCGGGATACAGTGTTCAGTTGTTGAGTGGGGAGCAACACATTTTTGGAAGAGGGCTGTTAGTAACAGCAGCAGATAGCCTGTAAGCATTGGCCTGTGACTTCTAGGTCTTTCACGGTCAGCAAGGCCCTCTCTGTACTATCAGCCCTAAAACTCGGGATCCTCCTTTGTTTTTCTTTTGATGCTTTGTCCTATGTTCTATCCTTTGGTAATTAAACAAGCATATTGTTGTCTTACTGAAACTGATTTACCCCAATTGGCTGTCACCATTGCCCTATTGTTTTTGTTCCAGTGACAGAACTAGCCTGTTAGGACTGTGATGATAAACACGTCTGTTGCAACAGAGAAGTGTATTTACGGTGGTCTTTAAATTCTGTACCTTAACACTCAAATTCTGTAATTCTATGTTCTGTCCACTGATGTTACCCTAGACACTGTGTTTAATCCTGGTGTTCTTATTTTTACCTCTGACTCCCTCACTCATTCTCTTTAACAATTCTCTGGTATTCACAGTCCTGCTTCTGCAGCCATCACACAGACCGCGCGGTGTCACTAGTTACCAGTTGGGTAGGTACATTGGAAAACAGCGGTAGAATTTTTAGAACCTCGTGTTCTCATAGTACCTCTATTCTTCTCTGGTTTAGAGTTACACAGTCATTTATGTTTTCTAAGTTTTAAATTAAAAAGATAAAAATTAAAGTATAATTTTTTATGCCTTCAAAACTATTAGGCGGTCTGTTAGAGTTAAGGCGATTATTCAGTGTTTAACTCATGACTGTAGAATATAAGAATCTTGTATGGATAAAACCTACTGTGTGTTTTGGAAGTCCATGCAAAGTGCAGAGGGAATTTTAGACTTGTGACGCAGTTTTGAAGCACTGTTTTAGCTTCTCCCATGTGAGTGTGAGACCCTCTATAATAGGATCGTTCTTCGCTTGACTTGCCTTCACCCCTCCTCACCCTTCTCACTTAAGCTGTGCTAATTATAATTTGTCCGATTTTCTCTTAAGGAAAAGGCTGCACCTCTTGAGTTTCTCAAGGCCGGTGTTTTCACCTCAGGAAGGCCTGTGCCTTCTCTGCACCTTGCCATTCCTTTGCTTAGAAGCCTGCGTCTTTCAGTGTTTGCCTCTTCTTTTTCTCGGGTTTTGCTTCTCAGCCCACGGCCCGGCGGAACGGGGGGACCTGTGCAAATGCAGACTGTGACTCAGCAGCTCTGGGGCGGGGCTCCTGGGGGCTGCCAGCGCTGCTGGTTTCTGGATCGCACTTCCAGGAACAAGGATCTTGACTCCCTGATAAGCTCATTGTCATCGAGCGGTTCCTCAGACTCCCTCCTCTTAATTCCCTTGGGCACACTTGTGCCTTTCCCAGTGATGCCATTATGCAGTATGCCTGCCTTATACCTCTTAGAACTGTCCAGCTGTCTGGGTCTTCTCAGTGCAGGTTTTTGCCTGCAGAGACTGTGTCTTTAATCCTTGGACACCCAAGCCTGCCATAGTGTTTAGCTGAAAATAGGAGTTCAATAAATATTTATTACCAATTAGATAATATTATACAGCCTACTTGTGTAGTCCAATTTACTGAATATTAAGAGTGGCCTTTTAAATTTTATTATCTTTTAGTAAACAAAATGAATTATGAGCCGGATTTTTTTTTTCTCCTGTAGTTCTTTTTTAGAAGAAAAAAAATGTCAAATATGTCCCAGCCAAAGATATTTGCTTGAAAGTGATGTTTCAGCCTTTGGTACAAACAGAACATGTCGAAGGCACTATGAGATATACTTTATTCCTCAAGACAACTTCGTTTGTGAAAGTAAACTTCTTAGAAAACCAATGACCATTTGTTTTTCTTTTCACTCAAGGAGAAACACAAATGTCTACCACAAGACGGAAACGTAGTGTGTTATGTTGTTTACCGTAAGCTGCAGTAAGATGAGCTCAAGCGTTGACAGGTGCGTCTTCACTGACTTCTGTTTTGAAAGTCACTGTGAGAATAATGGGCTGTATCACTAAGGGGAGTTTATGTACAAGCATAATTACTGTTGCATTCTGTTTCCGTACTAAACAAAGATGGTGTGAGGAAGATTTGTCAGTACTTTGTACAAAGTCAGCAGCATGTTACTTGTGTTTTAAGTGGGTCTTGGGCTGTAATTTTGAGTGATTTGGTCAGAGCTGTTGTGAAAGAAATTGTAACAGTTGTGAGTGTTTCCTTGACACCTTCTAGAATCCCTTTTCTCTGTATTTTCTGGTGCCAGCCCCATCCTTCCAGTCATCTACATGTTTGTGAACAAGAAAAGCTAGCTGCAATTAGGACTTCATTACTCAAAATTATGATCTTTAAATTTACTTTTGGGGAAAGTGTAAACCCCCTGAATTTTTTATTCGAAGACTCCATTTTGTTGTTGTTTACATTTTAACATCTGACATTCCACAGATCTTAAAATAATTGATAGCAGTTTTTTTCTTTCATAGATAAACATAAAATAATAACGCCTTATAAGCAGTGGTGCCTTAAATTTGATTAAATAAAATAATATTTTAAGCACCTCTCTTTGACAGCTAATAAACATACTTCTGCTCGGGTCATCTAAACTCCGCATTATTCCCTAACACCTTGCACATGAGGAAACTGTTAGCTAAGTAACTTGTTGGAGGTCTCGTAGCATTTTGACCTGTGTTGGTCTTCTAATGCTCAAGTAACTGCTTTTATTACACCTGCTAAGTTGTGATTTTCTGATAGGTATTCTTTTCAGAGTTTTACAGCTAGAGTTGTACACAGAAATGACTTGACATCTGAGGGCAGCCCTTCTTTTTGTCCCAGAGCTAAATTATGAAGACCTGTACTGTGTTATAACTTAAGTGCCATAGGGCAAGGAGTTTCCTCAGACAGGCCTGCTGCACTAAGGCCATAGCTTTGGACTGTGCTGAGATTGGAGATGGGATCTGTGAGTAGCCGTCTCGAGGGGCTGTGTCTTCTCTGCCCCTGAGAAACATCACTACATATGATGCTGGCCTCTGAATGATTACTAGTTCCCATTCTAGGCCACATGATATCCAGAGATCTTCATGTTCACAGTTGAGTTAGTATTACAGATATGTACTAGAAAATAGTTAATAGTTACTGAAGTGGATTTGTGTAGTCTGTCAGCTTTACAAAAGTCATAAGATGAGGGGCTGGCACCGTGGCTCACTTGGTTAATCCTCTGCCTGTGCCAGCAGCCCATGTGGGCGCCAGTTCTAGTCCCAGTTGCTTCTCTTCCAGTCCAGCCCTCTGCTGTGGCCTGGGAGGGCAGTGGAGGGTGGCCCAAGTGCTTGGGCCTCTGCACCCACATGGAAGACCAGGAGGAAGCACCTGGCTCCTGGCTTTGGATCAGAGCAGCACCGGCCGTAGTGGCCATTTGAGGGGTGAACCAATGGAAGGAAGATCTTTCTCTCTGTCTCTCTCACTGTCTGTGACTCTACCTGTCAATTACAACAAAACAAAACAAAACAAAAAATCGTAAGATGCAACTGAGTGATTCCCGTGTTCCCTCGGTATTGCTGTTGCTTACTTTCTCTGTTCACTCTCTTTTTCCTTTTAGAGATGACAGTAGTATTTTTGATGGGTTGGTGGAAGAAGATGACAAGGACAAAGCAAAAAGGTAGTTCAACTTGAGACGTAAAACAGTAAATAGATGAATAATAAATACATGTAAGGAAATAGTCGATTAATGGTTTCCGAAAGCTGCCGTCTTAGGAGTGTAGGTTAACTAGCAAGGGAAGGACGGGGTGGGGCCGGACTTACAGATCAGCCTGCTGTCGATTTGTTGCACTTCAGGTCCTGCCTGTGGTCGCCTCGGCAGGGCCAGACCGCGTGGTTTTGCCGGACTTAGCACAGGCCAGACGTTCGTCACCTCTGGCTTAGGAATCAATTTGCCATTTGTAAGCTAAGTAAAATTATCCTCTGGCCCTTTGGAAAAGTATTAGACTTTTGCCTAAACAAAAACTGAGTTAGAAAATCTAACTTCATTAAGCGGATAATTAGAGGTATTATGAAGTAATTGGGCTTATTTCTCTTAACAGCTGCTTGTTTACTGGTTAATGCTTTGTGTAGAATAGCAGTAGTCCACGTAGCACATCCATTCCAAGTGCTTGCTGTGTGTTAGAGCTTATGAGTAAGTGCTTAGGTGAGAAGATTTGGGCTCTGTGATCAGGAAGCCTGCGTCCTGGTGCGGAGACGACAGACAGCCGCTTCCAGGTGTGCGCCGCAGGCTGGGACGTGACCGTGCAGAGCACGTGAGCCTGGGAGCAGCCGAGTTTTGCTTTCAGATTTTTGCTTACGATTTAAAATTTACATAATGATGTGTAACTTGCTCCAATAATTCTAAATAAATGGCCTTTACACAGTTGACAAGGGTACTTTAGGAAGTCATGAAAATGCACATTTTCTTTTAATTCCATTTTTGTACAGACTTTTTGATGTATCCTCACATGTGCTTCACTACATGTATTTCATTTATAATAGTCTTGTAAATTCACAGTCTTTGGTAAATGTTAGATTAATTGAAACCTGAGATTTGAATGTACTTTGTACTATGGACACTTCCATAAAAATGTGTATCAAATACTTGGTATGTAAAATTTCGTTGGTGATAAACTGAGATGACAGATTATTGCTCACATGAACTCTGTTGTTGGTAACCTAGGAAATAGACACTACTGTCTGTATTAACAGAAGGATATGCTGTCATTGTATCCAACTTGAGCACTGTATTAAGCTAGTCGTATAATGAAATGGATTACTTTAAAATTGCCTACTAATTTCTTACTTCATCAGAGTATCTAGAAACAAATCTGAAAAGAAACGTAGAGATCAGTTTAATGTCCTCATTAAAGAACTGGGATCCATGCTTCCTGGTAACGCTAGAAAGATGGATAAATCCACTGTTCTGCAGAAGAGCATTGACTTTTTACGAAAACATAAAGGTAAGTTTTTAACTTTGCAAAGTGAGTGGTGTTTTTCATAATTGACTGTCTGGAATAGCATAATGGGTTAGAATCTTGACTTAAGATTAGATCCTTCCTCAGCTTTTTAAAGAGAGGGGAATCAATTGCCTTTTTAAAGATTTACTGTTCTTTCTTTCATTCAACAAACATTTATTTGGTGCCTACTGTATCCTAGGTCCCCATGATTCAGGGTAAGAGTCCTGGCCAGGAGAGACAGCTTGTAAACAGGTGGCTACACTGCAGATGTTCACAGTGTGAGTAGTGCTTCTGAGCTGAAACTTCAAGGCCAAGAGTTGATGTCTCCACTGAGTCTTCCCTTCGATTAAATCGGGACACTGCATTTCACACAGAGGAAGCAGCATGTGCAGAGGCGCAGAGACTTCACTGCCACTGGAGCATTGCTGTTTTGGAAATTATGGGTGATTTTGAAGAAAAAGAAAGCTGAGAGAGACAGGGCTTTATCTGTCAGCCCAAAAGATTGTTGCATTGTGTAGCCAGGAAAGAAGCCCTATTTTTTTTTTTTTATTTGACAGATAGACAGTGAGAGAGACAGAGAGAAAGGTCTTCCTTCCGTCGGTTCACCCCCCCCCCCCAAATGGCCGCCACGGCTGCAGCTACGCCGATCCGAAGCCAGGAGCCAGGTGCTTCCTCCTGGGCTCCCATGCGGGGTGCAGGGCCCAAGCACTTGGGCCATCCTCCACTGCCCTCCCGGGCCACAGCAGAGGGCTGGACTGGAAGAGGAGCAACCAGGACTAGAACCGGGCACCCATATGGGATGCTGGCACCACACACAGAGGATTAACCAAGTGAGCCACAGCGCTGGCCCCAACTCTATGTTTTAAGATAAAATATCTGTTAATGGAAGAAAATCACCATAACTAAATGAATCCTGAAAAGAAAATGTGAAGAATATTAGTTCTTTTGGTAACAGATCATAGATTTAAAAACCTGTAGGCTGGCGCCACGGCTCACTAGGCTAATCCTCTGCCTGCAGAGCCGGCACACCGGGTTCTAGTCCCAGTCAGGGCGCTGGATTCTGTCCCGGTTGCCCCTCTTCCAGGCCAGCTCTCTGCTGTGGCCAGGGAGTGCAGTGGAGGATGGCCCAAGTGCTTGGGCCCTGCACCCCATGGGAGACCAGGAGAAGCACCTGGCTCCTGGCTTCGGATCAGTGTGGTGTGCCGGCCACAGCGGCCATTTGGGGGGTGAACCAACGGCAAAGGAAGACCTTTCTCTCTGTCTCTCTCTCTCTCACTGTCCACTCTGCCTGTCAAAAAAATAAATAAAAAAAAAATTAAAAAACAAACCTGTAAAAGGACGTTTCCTTTCTCAGAAGAAGCAAATGAAACCAGAGAACTTCTCCGCAGAGTAGTGACTATGCCTGCGTCGGCTCCTCCACAGCTCCCCTGGCAGTGCATTACCAGACTGATTTCTGCTCCACTGCTCTTTGGAGTTATTTTTGTTAATCTCACCAATGACATCAGCCTCCTCTCCCTCCATCCCCCCAAAAAAGAAAGCAGTAGCTTTTCCTTTTACCTCATCCTCTTCTACAGCTCTGTAGCTTGGAAATTCTGATTCGTCGTCTGTTGGCTTTCTTTTTCTGGGCTTCCATTACACTGTACTGCTTTCCTCTGTGTTCCTGACAAAAATCCAAAAATTCCCCAGGCTTAATCCTTGTGCTCATGCTACTCTTTCTCTAGATTGTCTGACTTCATCACTTCATCTATTGTGTGCTGTTAACTAGCAAATCTGGTTTTAGATGTGAACTTTGTTAGCCTTACATTTCCATGTAACCTCTAGAGATTTCTTTTGCATGTCCTCAAACTTGGTGCATCTGAAATGGAATTCATTTTATTTTCTCTAGCCTCCTCTTTCTCTTAACTTGCTTGTTTCCCCTTTTGTATCTTATCCCTTTAGCTCATTGGAACTTGAGAATTGTTTTTTTGTGTGTGTGTTCCTTAGTACAGTATCACAGTTGGCAGATTCTGTTGATTCTGCTTTATCTTCATTTTTATTGCCACCACAATCATTATATTTTACATCTACAAATAGTATTCTCACTGTGCTAGTCCCTCTTGTTAGACGGTATACTCATTAAAGTTAGTCCTTAGACGTAGGAGTTCAATAAATGATTGTTGAATGAAATGAGACAAAATGTGTGCATTTCCCCTTTACAACTAACGGATGAATTTTGGCGTCAAGTAGGTTAGTAGGTTAGGTTTTTTGGTTTTTTGTTTTGTTTTGTTTTGTTTTCCCCCAGAATTAAGTATGTAATTCTCACAGAAATTAAATGTAAAGTTAAAATGAAATTCGTATATACTTCCTCTAAAACTTGCCTGTCTAAAACTTGACCAGATTTGCATGTGCATCTAAGTCTTTTTACCTAAATGTGTATAATTGATGTGAATTTGAAAATCATAACCATGTTCTGTAGAATTAGTAGATATACTTTTTAGTTACGCTTCGTATTCCATTACAGGCCTTTCTAACATGCCAAATTTTAGTTGACGTATCTAGTATGCTGTATTTGTGTATCTGATAATTAAAAAAAATCAAAACAGCTTACTCTGAACTTTTCACCAGAAAACAGAGGATATTTTCTAGAGTACAGTCTGTGCCATAGGTTTTTATTCTGTCTGGTTGTTGTAATATACCTGCATTTAAAAATGAAAAAGCATTTGTTACCGGTGCAGTTCAGATTGTATCATTTATGAACACCTTTCTCATAACCAAACTTAAAAGTAAATGGCAAAATAAGATAGTAATAATTATGATAAAATGTGTGCCCCAAGCCAGGATCTCCAGATTTTTGACCAGCTGTGTGCCATTAAGAACATGTACAAAGAGAACAGGAAGCAAGTCCGCTCTGGGATGGCACGAAATCCTCATCTAGTCTTCTTGATGAATTGAGTAGAGCGCCTGAATTTGCAGGGTCCCTTGCTTGGCGGCAGGCAGGTCTGAAGTGACTGACCTTGTTGGCCCTCACCTCCAGACTCACTTCCTTTCTTGCTCTAGAGGTTACTGAATGACAGGCGGAGGAGGAGGATGGAGCAAACTTGATTGAACCTGCTTGTGATTCTTATTTGGCCACTGTCTAGCGGGAAGCCTTGTCAGGGCTGTCAGCAGTACAGGCTATCAAATCTGCCTAGAGAAAAGCCAGAGAGACTGGGATGGGCAAGAGCCTGGATCAAGGATATAGCTTGCCACGTCGGCTGCAAGGTTTCCTCAGGACAGAACCTGCACCTGCTCATGCGCAGCCTTGAAAACGTTAGTGTCTGTAGGTCTCAGCTTGGGTTTGCGTGGGAAGAGAGAAGGCAGCACAGATGTTGGTGCTCCTGGGTGCTTGGGGCTTGCCACTAACGTGTCCATCTGTTCACAGAAATCACTGCACAGTCAGATGCTAGTGAAATCCGACAGGACTGGAAACCTACATTCCTTAGTAATGAAGAGTTTACACAATTAATGTTAGAGGTATGTCCAGACTTAATTTTTCAAAGTTTTGTTTTCCTCAAAGAAAGAAATCATAGGGGTGATTGATTTTAGTATAGTGTTCACAGTATTGTTTTGGTGTTGAAAAGTTTTAATTCAGTGTAAATTTAGTAAACTTTGTCTTCAATTAAGTATTGTAAGCAAATAAAATGTGATAGAGTAATAAAGAATTTTTGTGTTTCCAGTATTATCTGAACTTCTTTCTGTAAATTTTTTTTAAAGATTTATTTGAAAGGCAGAGTTGAGGGGGGGGAGAAGAGAGAGAGAGAGAGAGAGAGATCTTCCATCTGCTGGTTCACTCCCCAAAGGCCTGCAACAGCCAGGGCCGGACCAGACCGAAGCCAGGAGCCAGGAGCTTCTTCCTTGTCTCCCATGCAGGTGCAGGGGCCCAAGCACTTGGGCCATCTTCCATTGCTTTCCCAGGTGCATTGGCAGGGTGCTGGGTGTGAAGTGGAGCAGCCAGGACTCGAACAGGCACCCATATGGGATGCTGACATCCTAGGCGGCAGCTTTACCCACCACACCACAGTGCTGGCCCTTATTATCTGAATTTCTGATTAAAAAAGTAAAAGAAACATACAGCAACTGGGTTTTCCATCTGTGACTGTGCCAACAACATTCTCACAAAGAATGATAGATGTTACTCGTCCCATTATATATCATTATGAAATGTATGTGCTGTAGTCATTCATGCTGCTGTGGACAAAATAAAATAGAGTGTCTTATAAACAAATTTCTCTCTCCCGGTTCTAGAGGCTGGGAAGTCTTCAGATGAGTGTACCAGCAGATATCTGATAGTGGGCTCAGTTCATGGTTCCTGGATGGCAGTCTTTTCATTGTGTCCTCAGAGGAAAGGAGGGGAGAAGGAGTTTTAAGAAAAGGGACACTAATTCCATTTATGAGAGTTAGATTCTCATGACTAAGTTATCTCCCAGAGGCCTCACTTTGAAATACCAATAGCACTGGGGATTCGTTTTCAACATAGGAATTTGGGTGTTGTAAACACTCAGTCTATAGTAGTATCCTACTGGTGTAGTTGGCAACTTTTTATCCATAAATTAAGGGACTGGTGGTGTGGTGTGGTGTGGGAGAAACCGCCGCTTATGATGCTGGCATCCCATGTGGGCATGGGTTTGTGTCTTCTACCTCCAGTACAGTTGGTTTGAGGTTTTCCATCTCCAGTACAGTTCTCTGTAATGATGTAGGAAAGTCAGGGGAAGACGGCCCACATGTTTGGCCCCTGCCATCCACATGGGAGACATGAGGAAGCTCCTGGCTCCTGGCTTTGGCCTGGTCCCGCGCTGGCCACTGGGACCACCTGGGGAATAAAACAGCAGATAGAGGATTTCTCCATCTCCCTCTCTTTCTCACTCTGCCTTTCAAATAAATGAATAAATCTTTTAAAAAAATGAAAATCTTGATGAAAGCTTTTTAAAAGGAAATGAGCAAGTGTTCTTCTATGACAGAATTTTTCTTTTTTAAAGATTTATTTTACTTATTTGAAAGACAGAGAAAGGGAAGGAGATACATTTTCCTTCCACTGGTTTACTCTCCAGATGGCCTCAACGGCCAGGGCTGGGCCAGACCAAAGCCAGAAGCCAGGAGCTTCTTCCAGGTCTCCCACATGCCCGAGGATTTGGGCCATCTTCTGCTTTCCCAGGCACTTTAGCAGTAAGCTAAATCGGAAGTGGAGCACCTGCGACTGGAATTGGCACCCATATGGGATGCTGGCACTGCAGATGGCAGCTTAACCTCTTAAGCCACCACTGGCTCCTTCAGTTACTTTTTTAAAATATTTATTTAAAAGAGTTACAGAGAGCACGCGTTGGCCTGGTTTAGTCCTAGCTTTTGGGGACATTCAGAGAGAAAACTCATGGATGGATGATCCCTCCTTCTCTCTACCTTTGAAATAAAAATGAAAAGAAGTAAATAGAAATTTTTTTAAAGATTTATTTATTTATTTGAAAATCAGAGTTACACAGAGAGAGAAGGAGAAGCAGAGAGAGAGAGAGAGAGAGAGAGAGAGAGAGAGAGAGAGAGAAAGTCTTCATCAGCTGGTTCACGCCCCAGATGACCACACAGTCGGAGCTGCACCAATCCGAAGCTAGGAGCTAGGAATTTCTTCCAGGTCCCCCACGCGGGTGCAGGAGCCCAAGGACTTGGGCCATCTTCTACTGCTTTCCCAGGCCATAGTGGAGAGCTGGATCAGAAGTGGTGCAGCCGGGACTTGAACTGACGCTCATATGGGATGCTGGCACTGCAGGCGGTGACTTTACCCACTGCGCCACAGTGTCATTCCCCAAATAGAAATATTTCATATAGTCAGTTATAAAATCCACACAATTTTGAATCACACATACCTATCAGTTTTAATTTTCTGCTTTTTAATCCTTTCATGTTTGGATTTTACAGGTATTGGCCTATGCACATGAAATACAGAGAGTTCACTGTCCAATTTTCATGAAGATTTTATTTATTTATTTTGAAAGGCAAAGATACAGAGAGAGAAGGGGAGAGAGAGAGCTCCCCATCCACTGGTTCATTCCCCAAATGCCTGCAATGGCCAGAGCTGGACCAGGCCGAAGCTAGGGGCCAGGATCTTCTTCCAGGTCTCCCACGTGGGTGCAGGCTTCCAAGCACTTGGGCCATCCACTGCTGCTTTCCTAGGTGCATTAGAAGGGGGCTGGATCAGAAGTGAAGCAGTTGGAACTCAAACCGACACCCATATGGCTGCCTGCACTGCAGGCGGAGGCTTAGCCTTCTATGCCACTGATGAAATTTTTTAAAAGCAAATAGGGTGATTTACTTTGGAGATAATAAAGACAAAGAAAATAGATAAACGAAAGTAGACGTAGGAAGAGTGTACAAGAAAGCGGTTAAGGTGAGAATATTAGCGGTTGTTAAATAATTCCCTGTCTCTTACCCTGTTTGGGTATGTTACTTTAGGTCTTCAGCATTTTATCCATATCATGTGTATATAAGGGATTTTCAAAAAGTTGTAAACATTTAACCCTCTTTAAATCAGAAAAATAGCTGAGCGCTTTTCACATCTGAACTCCTTTAACCCGCACAGCAGTCTCATGAAGCAGCAGTGGTGTCCGTGTATCACAGTAACTAGGAGTAGGAGGTAAGCTTCGGCCTCTCCTCCTTACTTCCAGGTGAGAGGGTGAAGGAGCACAGGCCTGAACTTGCCCAGAGTAGCACAGCCAGTAATGGCTCAGCAGAGGTTTTCTGCAGGCCGACTGGTCTGATCCAGTTCCCTCAGCCACTGTGCACACCACTGCTCATCAAGATTTTTATTTTCTTTGAAAGTTGTGGCACAGAATATTTAGCTTAATAGCCAATAATTGTTTTTAATATGTTAGTATACTTCCAGACAAATCATAGTTCCTAATTTTGTTAAATTTTTTTCTCTGAAAAGTGATTTGGGGGCGGATGTGGCCCAACAGGTTTAGTTGCTGTTTGGGGTGGCCATATCCCTTATTAGAGTGCCGGTTAGAATCCTGTCTGCTCCGCTTGGACCTGGCTTCCTGTCATTGCACACTCTGGGATGCCACAGCTAATGGCTCAAGTGCTTGGGCCCCTGCCACTCACATGGGAGACCTAGATGAGAGTCCTTGGCTCTGGGCTTTGGCTTGGACCAGCCCTGACTGTTTCAGACATTTGGGGAGTTGAACCAATGGACGGAGGATCATCAATCCATCTCTCTCTCTTTCTCCCCTACCCCCAACCCTTGCTATGCCTTTCAAGTAGATGAAAATAAACAAGCGCTTAAAAAGTAGTTTGACATTATTTAAAGTTATCTCTTTTGATATAACTATTAAGTTTAATTAACAATGTAAGCTAATTGTTTACTAATAAGCTAAACAGAATAATATCTTTAAATTTTTCTTTATGATGGAGTTTTTTATTAATTGCCAAGGTATATGTAATACACACATAGAGAAATATTGAAGAAAAAATGATTCAGATTCCAGATATTATAATATTATTTGTAGCCCACAACAGAGAAAGGTTAAATGTGTTAAAATTTTAAAATATAAATTAATTAGTGGCCAGCGCTGTGGTGCAGCAGGTTAAAGCCACAGCCTGCAGCACCGGCATCCCATCTTGGTGCCAATTTGAGTCCTAGCTGCTCTGCTTCTGATCCAGCTCCCTGCTAATGTGCCTGGGTAAGCAGTGGAGGATGGTCCAAGTGCTTGGACCCCTGCACTCATTTTGGAGACCCAGGCGAAGCTTCTGGCTCATGGCTTCAGCCTGACCCAGCGCTGGTCATTGTGGCCATTTGGGGAGTAAACCAGCAGCTAGAAGACCTCTCTGTCTCTCCCTTTCTCTCTCTGTAACTCTGTCTTTCAAATAAATAAATCTTTAAAAATAAATTACTTAATGACTGTCCTCATAGATTTTTAGGTTTATATTCCTGAAAAAATGTCATACTTACTTTTATTATGCTAAGAATATTTTTTGTTTTTAGTTTATACAAGCACTAGGTAAATGTACATACCAGTGCAAAAATGCCAAGATGAAGAATTTGTATGTGTTTGTATGTTGTAGCCCGAGGACATATGTTGGCTCAGTTTTGATGTTTACATGTCTAAGTAGTCTTTCCAGATGTGACTGAATGTGATAAAATCTCATTCATAATCTAAACAGTACAGATTTTGTTTCAGTGAAGTTCATTTGGCTAGCGTATAGTCTAGTTATTATATAATTCTTGGCTGGCTTGTATTGATCAGATTTGGATAGGCAGCTCACAAGAGCATTTTTAAAGGGATTTCGCGTTTCAGCTCTCCATGTTGGGAATGTGAACCCTGCTAGTAGGAGTGATCAGATTATTTAGCTCAACCTCTGCATTCTGTATGTGAGGTCTGGAGAAGTTGCAGCTTGTCCATGATCAGATAGCTAATGGAATAATTGGAACTAAGATTTTCAAATTCACTTATTAGTAAATGTGTTGACTGTCCCGTCCTCCATGGCTACCTGTCCCTCTCCCGTTTGTTTTCTGAGGACTGTTTCTTGCCACCCTTGGAGGATTGAGAGTGGGGAAGTTAGCCTGCAAAGTCATTTCTATGTGAGGTCATCTCCTAGGATGTGGTTCTTAGCAGCTAGCATCTCTCTCCTGTAATCTGTGAGGGAAGATAATGCCTCGCTCCCTAGACCCTCCATTCCCATCGTCCTGGACCTATCGGTCACTAAGCAAACAGGAAGATGGGGTTTTTACTGAAGATCCTGTTGCCTTTATACCACAGAGAAAGGGATGAGCTTCAGGGCTTAGTCGGGATGAGGCTCTGTGCTCTTCTGTCTCTGTGTCTCTCTCTGACCTTCTTCTGCAAGGCCCCCCGTCAAGGCTGCTTTAATTTCCGGCATGCCCACCTGTCGTCTTAGGCGATTATATACCTCAAAAGAAGTACAGCCCTGGGTCTGTCCCGGATTAAATGGTGTATTGAGATGTTTTCAGAGCGTTCCGCTCCTTTGTCTTTGCTTTGAAAGAGGAAGGAGCAAGGTTTAGTTCTAGAAGTATGGTTAAGTTCTTAAGCGTTCTGATTCCACTTTGTTCTTTTCACAGCGGAGAGCTGCGTTCCAAGTCCTCGCAAATAATGTATTAGCACAAAGGACGTCAATGTCCTTTCAGAGGGGACACAGTCTCGCCTTCATATGAGAAAAGCATATCATTTTACCCTAGTCCTTATGAAATAACATGGCATATTGTACTGAAAAGGCTTGTTTTTTTAATTATTAACATACAGTAGTTTTATTTGGGGGGTATAGTGTGATAATTTGACATGTGTACAATATGTAATGATCAAATCAGAATAATTAGCTTTTCATCTTAAACATTTATCTTTTTTGTGTATGTTGGGACATTTGAACTCCTCTCATCTAGTTCTTTATAAAAACATGTAGTAAATTATCAGCTGGACCCAATCTGCTGTAGTATTTTAGAACTTAATTCTCTTGTGGAACTGCGTTTTGGTCCTTACTGTCGACCCTCCATCTGACCCTGCTGCCTTCTCTAACCTTTAGTGGCTACTGTTCTGTTTCCTGCTTCTGGGAAATCAACGTTTTTAGCTTCCACATAAGAACTTTTTAGAGAATTAATTCATGATTTTGCTTAAATAGCAAAATGTCTACCATTTTCTTCCTACATTAACCAAGAATAGATTTCTCTGAGCAATTCTAGAAGATGGGTATCTTTTATCTTCAATAATTACTTAGAGTGTAAAGGAGGTTGCTCTACATCCCAGGTACGTAAGTGGAATACTACAAGCATTTTCTTTCTCTCTTTTTCTTTTATTCGTTTGAAAGGCAGAGGTAGACAGACGGAGAGAGGGATTTATTTTCCCTCCAGTGGTTCACATCTCAAATGGCCAGGAGCCAAGAACTCCATCCAGGTCTCCCACATGGGTGGGAGGGGCCCAAGCACTTGGACATCTTCTACTTTCCCAGATGCACTGGCAAGGAGTTGGATTGGAGCAGCAAGGACTCAAACTGGTGCTTGTTTAGGATGCTGGTATCTCAGGTGGCAGCTTAACTCATTGTATCACAAACCCAGCCCCTACAAGCATTTTCTTGTTGCACACATACAAAATTATCTTCAAGTTTTCCACTGGGTCTCCCTCCCTCCTTCCTGTTTATGTACTTATTTATTTATTTGAAAGAGTTAGGAAGAGAGCGATTCCATCTGATGGTTCACTCCCCAGCTGGCTGCAGCAGCCTGGGTTTAGCTGGCCAGGTCTCCCGCATGGGTGGCAGGGGCCAGACACTTGGACCATCTTCCACTGCTTTTCACAGGCCCTTAGCAGTGAGCTGGATTGAGACTGGAGCAGCTGGGACACCAAGCAGTGTCCAGATGGGATGCGGGGGTCCCAGGCAGGACTTCACCTGCTGCACAGCAACACTGGCCTCGTGCATCTTCTTTCATTCAGCCTGAAAGGGTGCTCATTCCTCGCTCTCTCCAGTGCCTTTTCCTTCGTACTTGGTTCTCTGAAAACTCTTGTCCTGTCTTCTTCCCTTCCAAAGTCCATTAACCAGTGGCTTCTGGTAGCCTTCTCATCATCTCCTGGTTTCTAAACTGATTGTCATGTGACCTGCCTTCTGTTGATTTAACTCTTGAAAATCTCCAAAATTCAGTTCTCATTTTTTTACTTTTTACGTGGTTTGCTCGTATTTTACCCCAAACATCTATCTGCAGCCTCATTTATCTTGTCATTCTCTGTTCCATTGACTGTTTGGACGAGTGCATTCTATCTTCTTCGTCATGTCCTTTGGCTTTTTTCACTGCCTCGTGCCTGTGTAAATAGGTAATTCTTTGAGGATTTATTTCTGACATGCTTCTCTCTTTTGCAGATCTTGTTTCTTCAACTGTCACTTCTGTACTTGGGATTCTGAAATGAGAACACTTGGTCAAACACACAGTATTGGACTGTTCATTAGTAACACTTCGTCCCCTGCTCTGACTTCTCTCCGGTGTTCTGACGTCGCGCTTCTCAGTGCTTGCCTAAGTCCCTTTTTCACTATGCCGACTGCTGCTTATTTCCCTCGGATTTCCATTAAATGCCCTAATTATTCCAAAAGCCACTGAGTTTTTCCTGACTCAGTTCTTTGTTCCCTCTAAATTCGTTTTACACACTGCACCCAGACCTCTCTGGTTGGAGCACAATACCTTGCCCTAAAATCTTTTGTTAGCTTCCTGTTTTGCTTGCAATAAAGTCTTACAGACCTTCACTGGGAATCCAGGGCCTTTTCATCATCTGTCATGAGCCTGGTTTTCCAGTTTCCCACTGCTCCACTTTACTTTCTCCTCATGTCCTCTTACATGTGCTTTAGTCATATACCTCTTCAGCAGATGCAGTATAATGTCTTCTCTGTGTGCTTGAGACCTATTATTGATGGTATGTTTGGAGATGATAGCATCTTCAGATAAACCATAGTATATATATGAATATATGATTGGATCATATAATGTGCATAGTGATAAAGATAGAACATTAATTTCTTTTAAAAAGCAGCTGTCTAATAGACGGCCAGGGAGTGATTTTTCTCCTCAAGAAGTATTTACAAATGCACAAAGATAGTCGCTGAGGTATTGGAAGGGGGAAAGCTAGATAATTCCACATCAAGTCCCTTCATTTATCTTGGATTTTTATTTCTGTCCTGTGAAATACTTTTTTCTTTTCATTTAACTGACCATTATGTTTAATTTCAGGCTCTTGATGGTTTTTTTTTAGCAATCATGACAGATGGAAGCATAATATATGTGTCTGAGAGTGTAACTTCATTACTTGAGCATTTACCAGTAAGTATGAAAATCCTGTAATCTCTTATGTCTGTTTCTAAATATCCAGACGAAAGCACTAGGTAGTGGACCTTAAGAGCAGTGCTGAACAGTGAGGCTGATGGTGCGGATGGAAGCTCTCAGTAAGTTTTGTTTTGCGTGGCTGTGTTGCCTCAACTCCGTTAGGATCCTCTACTCTGTAGTAACTTTATTTCAGGTACCACCTTGTCTAACCTCTCTGCTTTTTTTATTCTAATACCAGCTTTTCAGAGTTGCTTTTTGTAATCCATCTGGTGAATATGTTCAATCACTAGGAATATCTCAAGAATAACTAAATTTAGACCGGTGCCGCGGCTCACTAGGCTAATCCTCTGCCTGCGGCGCTGGCACACCGGGTTCTAGTCCCATTTGGGGCGCCGGATTCTGTAGTGGTTGCTCCTCTTCCAGGCCAGCTCTCTGCTGTGGCCCGGAGTGCAGTGGAGGATGGCCCAAGTCCTTGGGCCCTGCACTTGCATGGGAGACCAGGAGAAGCACCTGGATCCTGGCTTCAGATCAGTGCGGTGTGCCAGCCGCGGCGACCATTGGAGGGTGAACCAACGGAAAAGGAAGACCTTTCTGTCTGTCTCTCTCTCTCACTGTCCACTCTGCCTGTCAAAAAACAAAACAAAAAAACACAAAGAAACTAAATTTATACTGTGCTACTGACTGCAACTAGGGGAACTCATAAACAACTTGTTGAAAAGCATGACTTAAAAACAATAAAAATAGTAAATTCAGAACCTTAATGCTATGTGCAGCAATTCACAATGCAATAATGACCATATTCAATTCATTTTCAGATTTTCAGTTCAACTGAAAGGGTATAAAGAATTAAGGTGTATTGTATAATTTTTATTAGGATGATGAATAATCATTTCTCTGTGTGTGTGTGTGTTTTATTTATTTATTTTTTATTTGTTTATTTATTTGAGAGGCAGAGTTGGAGGACTTCCATCCAATGGTTCACCCCCCAAATGGCCACAAGAGACAGGGCTGGGCCAGGCTATAGCCAGGAGCTTCTTCCAGGCTTCCCATGTTGGTACAGGGGCCCAAGCGCTTGGGCCATCCTCCGCTGCTTTCCCAGGCACATTAGCAGGGAGCTGGATTGGAAGCAGAGCAGCCGGGACTCGACACAGCACCCAAGTGGGATTGCTGGCCTTGTAGGTGTCAGCTTAACCTGCTGTACCGCAACACCGGCCCCAGTGCCCATCTCGTGGAAATCTTTAATAATGCAAAGGGAACTGCTCTGTAGCTGTCTTTTTCAAGAGACATTGAAAAGTAGTGTTTCCTTTTCTCTGGTCTCTGCTACTCTGGACTTTACATATGAAGAGAATGGACTCCCCACTCAACAGATTCTGAATGAGCAGTTTCTTAATGAAAGCCAGGCAGTGATTACTGATTTCTTTGGTTCGCACAGAAAATGACTTTATTGCTCATACAGGGACTTTGTTTTCCAGTAAGCTAAAATTATAGGTGCTAAATCCAATCGAAAAAAATTTTTTGAGGGTTGGGGCCAGTGTTGTGGTACAGTAGGTTAAGCCACTGCCTGAGATGCTGGCATCCATATGAGTGCTGGTTCAAGTCTCAGCTGTTCAACTTCTGATCCAGCTGCGTGCTAATGTGTCTGGGAAAGCAGTCGAAGGTGACTGAAATGCTTGGGCCCCTGCCACTCAAGTGGGAGACCTGGATGGAGTTCCTGGCTCCTGCCTTCCGCCTTGCCCAGCTCTGGCTGTTGTGGCCATTTGGGGAGGGAACCAGTGGGTGAGAGATTCTGTCTCTGCCTCTGTCTTTGTCTTTCTCACCACCACTCTTTGTAAGTCTTTAAAATAAACAATTGAGGGTAAATTTAGATGATACCAACATGTAGGCAAATTAACAGGGACAGGGAAAAGGACAGACTAAGTAAATTTTGGGGGCAACTTTTTTTTTTAAAGATTTATTTATGTGAAAAAGTCAGCCGGGTCTCAAACCAGCGCCCATATGGGATGCCAGTGCTTCAGGACAGGGCGTTAACCCACTGTGCCACAGCACCAGCCCCAAGACTGGTATTTTCTGTCCTCTGTTTCACTCACCAAATGGCTGCAACAGCAGGAACTGGGCTAGGCCAAAGCCAGGAGCCAGGAATTCATTCAGCCAGGTCTCCCACATGGGTGGCGGGGCCCAAGTTCTTGTCCGTCTTCCACTGCTTTCCCAGGTGCATTAGCAGGGAGCTGGATGGGAAGTGGAGCAGCTGGGACATGAACCAGCTCTCTGATACGGGGTGGTGGCATTGCAAGCAGCAGTTTAACTTGCAACACAACACTGGCCCCATCTAGTGCATAGTAAGAAAACTCAGGGAAGGAATTGTTTTATAGGATCGAGATAGATTAAGTAATTGATACGAGTAAGCAAGTACAGTTATGGTTGTATTTGTTTTCCTTTCGGTTGTGCGTTTGTAGAAACAGTATGCTCTTTAATTTAGTCATAACCGGGGGGTCATTTGCAATATACTCACACTGTTTAAACATCTGCTTTCCTTGAAGTCCATTCAGTGTAGCTGCCCCTCCTCTCTGACCTCCTGTTAGTGGACAGTGAGCTCCACGCCTCTCATGTGTGCCTGGTGTCCTGTGTTGGACAGTTATGGCAGTTGTAAACTTCAGGGCAGGCCTTTCCTTGTGTGGCCTCGGGAACCCCAGTGAGTTCGCAGAGAGGCCCTCCAGGGTTATTTGTTGAATGTATGAAAACGAGTTGGCTGTTTTAAAACCCCTTCCTGCTGGCTCTTCGTCTTCAGTGAGGGGAGTGTGCCTGCAGTTTGAAGTGGACAGCATATGACAGCTCTAATTGCAATCAGGGGTTTAATCATTAACATTCTCTGCTCGATAAAAACGCTCTCACCTTTCCATTCCCTCTTGGATTATTTTTGTTAGAAATTCTTTATTTTAGAATCGTTTTAAAATTTATAGAAAAATCAAGAAGATGGTATAGAGTTCCCAAATGTCCCATACCGAGTTCTCTTTTTTTAAAATTAATATAATCTGGTTTTTTAAATTTAATTTGAAAGAATTAGAGGAGGCAGCGCCAGAGTATGCATCTTCGGCCTGCCCTGCCTTGCTGCTGTGGACATTTAGGGAGTGAACCAGCAAGTAGAAAATCTCTGTCTTCCTTTGCCTTTCAAAAAAATAAATTTAAACATTTTTTAAAAGGAACACAGCTGTTTGAAAACATATATCCAGAATATACTTGTCATTTTTTGGGAAGGAACTTTTGGTGCCTTTTTTTTTTTTTTAAGAAAGATTTACTTATTTATTTGAAAGTCAGAGTTAACACAGAGAGAGGAGAGGCACAGAGAGAAAGAGAGATCTTCCATCCGATGGTTCACTCCCCAGACAGCCACAACAGCCGGAGCTGCGCCGATCTGAAGCCAGGAGCCAGGAGTGTCCTCCAGGTCTCCCACGTGGGTGCAGGGGCCCAAGGACTTGGGCCATCTTCCACTGCCCTCTCAGGCCATACCTGGATTGGAAGAGGAGCAGCCGGGACTAGAGCCAGCGCCCATATGGGATGCCGGCGCTTCAGACCAGGGCGTTAACCTGCTGTGCCACAGCACAGGCCCCAACTTTTGGTGCCTTTTAAGCAACTATTATTTAGAGTAATCATTTGTTTAACTGTCGTCGTTGTCTTCCTAATGTCAAAGAGCTAAATCAGCAGGACGTATACCTCTTCATGGAAGTGATTGAGGTAAAAGGACCCAGAGAGCTGTTGTATTACTCAGCTTTTTGTCACTATAACTGAAGTACCTGAGAAGCTACTTATGAAAGAATACCATTTATTTTTACCAATACCAATTATTATTACCTCCTAGTCTTGGAGGTTCTCAGGCCAAGACTGGGCAGCCCCATTGGGGTGGTATCCGGTGAAGGTAGTGGGGTGCAGGATCCCGTGGTTAGCCAGGAAGCAGAGAAACCCGGGGCCTGGCCTCCGTGTCCCTGTGTCTTTCTACAGAACCGCCGTGATCTGAAGTGGGGGCTCCTCCCCAGCAACTTAATTCAGTTGAATCACTGCCCAGTGGGCCCACCTCAGGCAGCACAGCTGGATTAGGTCTCACTGACCCACTGACCATTAGTGGAAGACTTTGGGACTTAAATGTCTGCATGAGCTGGAGAGCCAATTCATGTTCAAGCCATAGCAGCCAAACCATTTTTTTTCTTCTCTTTCAATTGAGTTTGAGAACTGAGAGGATGCTATGGCAACACCAGGCCTTGTCACCCTGGAAGGTTTTCAGGGTGGTGGTCAGCGGAAGTTGTGGTGCTTCTTGCAGAGTGGCAGGGAGGCAGAGCTTGAATCAGACTACTGTGGACACCAGCCACTCGTGTTCTCCTCTCCAGATTGTGAAATACCCTGTGAACTCACGGGTGGAGAGCAGTTAACGTGGGTCAAATCGTAGCACACTGGAATAGCACTAGAAGTAGTTGGCAAGAATGAATAATAATAGAAGGCGAATCATTTCAAACTAGTATCTTATTTTTCTATCAAGACTTTTGCATTGATATTAATGTGTGTATTTTGCTTCTTCATTGTCTATAAAAGGTCATTTTCTAGCATTTCTATTACCATAAGTTTTCAGTTCTAGAGGCAGAAGAATCCCTTTTTAAAATACAGCTATTTTTGGCGTGGCTCCCCCTTAAGCAAATATGAGATAATTCCTTTGTCCAAAATCATTTCCTGTGGTAATAATTATGATGTGCACGGCACACAGTGTTAATGTGCCATGATTTGGAGGGGAGAAGATAAAGGTTTAAGAGATAGAGCCTGGGCCAGTGCTATGGTGTAGTGGGTAAAGCTGCCGCCTGCAGTGCTGGCATCCCATGTGGGCATCTGTTTGTGTCCCGGCTGCTCCACTTCCTATCCAGCTCTCTGCTATGGCCTGGAAAAGCAGTAGAAGATGGCTGAAGTCCTTGGGTCCCCTGCACCCTGCTGGGAAAACCTGGAGGAGGCTCCTGGCTCCTGGTTTCAGATTGGTGCTGCTCTGGCCATTGCGGCCAATTGGAGAGTGAACCAGCAGATGGAAGATCTCTCTTTCTGTACCCCTCTCTCCCCCTCTTCCCCCTTCCCCCTCCTTCCCTCCCTCCCTCCCTCTCTCTCCCTCTGCCTTTGCCTCTCCTTCTCTCTGTGTGTAACTCTGACTTTCAAATAAATAAAATCTTAAAAAGAAAAAAAAGAGCCCCTTTATTCATTATAGAAAAGATCTACACATTAAAATGTGACTAATTTTATGGTAAACCGGAAATGAGTAATACACAATATATGAAAGAAGTTTTATTTTCACTCTGAATTGTGATGCTTAGGGAATGCTTTTTGGAAGGAGGTCATTTGGTCTTTGAGAGATAGAAGATGCAGATTTGTGGAGAGAAAGCGTGGGCTTTGAGGGCAGAGTGTGAATGTGAGAAGAGCAGTCAGGACCCTTTCTCCTCCCTCCATCTCCAGTGGCTCTGTGTTGTTAGTGTTGTTTGTGTGTGTGTTTTTAACAAAATCTTTATAGATTCATAAAATACAAACAAAAAGAGTAAGTGCTTGGGTGGGTAGCTGGGGATGAGACCCTCAGCTCTGCTTTCACAGCTCCTTCTCTCCTCCCCAGCCCCCACCCGTCTCCCCATAGTCCTTGAGACAGCCACCCCCATATCCGTCCTCAGGGTTCCACAGACCTCCTGGAAAATGGAGAGCAACCTAGTGGGGTAGACAGAATTCAGTACGAAATGGGATGTCCCTGAAGCTTTGTTACCAGTGGACCTTAAGGATAAGAACCAATAATGCATTCATCCTTTGATTCCACAGCTGTGGCACTGTAGGCAACCCAAGGCTTGTGAGATTACTTACTGTTGATGAAAGGAACATACAAGAGTCAGCAAGTCACTGGGCTTAACATGTCAGTTGCCCTCTTGGGGGTGGGGGTGGGTAGCATAAAAGCAAGGCTTCTGACAGTGGAATGCAAGATAGATGCCAGGAAAATATGAAATAAAAAGAAAGCACCTATTGGACAACCGAAGTGATACCACATTTATTTAGCATGAGACCAGACTTTGTGTATGCGTGCCGCTGCTGGCGACGGTCGTAAAGCTATGACTTGTGGTCCAAGAATTTTCTGATTAAATTTTAGTCATGTTGTAGTTTAATGTGTTCGAAGTTCGTGGAGCTTAGCTTTGCAAGTCATGTGTCTGGCTTGGAAGGTCACAGTGATCGTGAACCTGATGACATCGCCATCAGAGCCATGAGTGCACTGTTACGCCCTAACTTCTCAGCCTTGTTTCTGTGGGATCTGATCTGTAACTTGACATTTGTTGGTTATCTTACATAAATGAAAATTAACCCTGTACCCTGTTGTTTAATAGTGATGATACACTTTTAAGATAAATATCTTAGGAATCACAGATTTATTTTGTGTTTAAAATTGTTTTTCAGTCTGATCTTGTGGATCAAAGTATATTTAATTTTATCCCAGAGGGGGAACATTCAGAGGTTTATAAAATACTCTCTACCCATCTGCTGGAAAGTGACTCGTTAACCCCTGAGTACTTAAAATGTAAGTAGTAGCTGTTAAACAGTAGTCAGATATTCTGCTTGGTAGCATAATCCTTTCGTTTTCAAGTCTGTGGAGTTCAAGATCAAAGTGGGGGTGGTAAAAAGTCTTAATTGACTTGCTTATCTGCTAGGTAAACAATCAATAAGCAAAAAAATGTTCTTTCAGGAAGAAAAAAAGATGTTTTATGCCAAAGATAATAAATGAGTTAAAACAGAAAACTGCTTTAGAAATCTAGTAGGTCATTTTGGCCATAGTGAAGGTGAGGTGGTATAGGAGTGTGATTTGTGTCTAGGGAAGGAAACAGGCAGAATTAGAAAGGCAGATCACTCAGGTAGGAAATTTGCAATAGGACTAAATTGGGAACAGAAAGGAAAACTGTATAATGTTAGCCATGGAAGGGGAGGCAAGTGTGTGAGTGTTAAGGAAGTAAACTCAGTAGGACTTGATGTCAGGCACAGGCAACCAAGTGACTGAGGATCATTGATGGGAAAGGGTCTGGGGCAGAAGCAGATTTTGAACCTCTGGAGTTAGATAGAACCATCTGTAGTGATAATGGCAGAGGAGTGTGAGCTTGGTGTAAGTGAAGAGAAGGGTTGCTAGTCCTTGAGTGCTGAAATAACCTGACACGGTGGGATTCGACTTACAAGTGGTTGGCAAGGATGCGTCAGCGTGGCCAGAATATGGAGGCATAATGAGAACACGGGGCAGTTACCTGGGTGCAGGGTAGTGTGTGCAGCATTGAGCTGGTGGCAGTGAGGGCTTGGGAGAGCTTCCTTGTGAAATAAATAGCAGATCCTGGACACATTATATTTGAGACTTGTGATGGGAAGAAAAGCCACCAAACTTACTTAGTTTCCAACTTGGGGAATAAGTGCACGTGGAACAGCTGGCTTGGGAAGAAAGATTCAGGTATTTTGAGTTTAAGCTCCTATGGGGACAGGTGAGTGAAAAAGCTGTGACAGTAAATCGTGGTGTGAGAGTGTGTCCTGCTTGAGATAGCGGAATTGGGAGGAGAGGTGTCGTAGTCAGCTTGCAAAGAAAGCAGATCAGGCGCAGAAGAGCGCTGTCCGCAGGCAGGGAGAGACCTCCGCCGTGGTGAAAGAGGCAGAAGCAGTGAGGAGAAGCTGTTGAAGGTGATAGGACACGTGTTAGGTACCGAAGGAGTTGCCGCAGAGGGGTCTGCGGGGCAGCCCCCGGTGTGAGCCGAGGAGAACTGAACGTGCGGACACTGGAGCCCATAACGTGAAGCCAAGTGTCTGGGACCAGAAAGCTCACCATGAGCAACCCGTTGTTGGAGGTGGAAACTGAGCAAATTTAAGACTAGAAAGGACCCACAGGGGAGAATGTGCAGGTGCTGAAGAAATGCACGGCCTCATCGTGGCCCTGGTCCTAGGAAAGGCAGGAAAGACGGCAAGGTGTAGATGGAAACAGAGCTGGAGTGAGGAGGAGGAGGGACAGGTGCAAATGGGGGCACGACGTTGCTTGTGCAGGTGAGGTCACCTCCTACCTACTAAAATGTCATTGAAAACTCTGTTAAGGGAGGTAATGACTATAAAGTTTGCTTTTAGTCTTATTTTGTGTGATATTTGTTCATTGTCCAGATCACAGAACGACTTTTCAAAATCTCTCATTTCAGCAAAAAATCAGTTAGAATTCTGTTGTCATATGCTTCGAGGAACAATAGACCCAAAGGAACCATCTACCTATGAGTATGTGAGATTCATAGGAAATTTCAAATCTTTAAATAGCGGTGAGTTAAAATGCCTCTCTTTCCAGTGTGTTTTAACTTGATATTATTTTTCTAGCTCTTAAAGACTTAGATGTTTGGATATCAGTAACAGCTTTTGTTGGAGTAACTGATCATAGCATTTCTTCACTGTTTAGTATCCACTTCAGCACACAATGGCTTTGAAGGAACTATACAGCGCACACACAGGCCTTCCTATGAGGATAGGATTTGTTTTGTAGCTACTGTGAGATTGGCTACGCCGCAGTTCATCAAGGTATGTTTCTAGTTTCATTTCCCAGGGAGAATTTCAGTCCACATTATGTAATTTTTTGTTTTCTTTACAGTGGCTGAAACCTCATATAAACATTGAAGACTGTGAGACATTGAACATGCATGATCATGATTTTTTTGAAACATGAGTTATCAAGGCGCTCATTAAATTATATAGCTAATTTCTTAGTGTAAGTTCTTTGCAGTTCACCAGTGGTTGTATGTCACTGTTGACCTACTTTTGTGCAAAATTTTCTTAGGTTTTTGTGATTAATTCACTGTCTTCATTAAAGGAGAAATCCAAAATAACCTTGGTAATTTTTTTTAAGATTTATTTATTTATTTGAAAGAGTTACAAAGAGGCAGAGAGAGAAAGAGGTCTTCCATCTGCTGGTTCACTCCCAAATGGCCACGATGGCTGGAGCTGAGCTGATCTGAAGCCAGGAGCCAGGAGCTTCTTCCAGGTCTCCCATGCAGGTGCAGGGTCCCAAGGACCTGAGCCATCTTCCACTGCTTTTCCAGGCCATAGCACAGAGTTGGATCAGAAGTGGAGCAGCCAGGTTTCGAAGTGGCACCCATATGGGATGGCGGCACTGCGGACGGCAGCTTTACCCACTATGCCATAGCACTGGCCTCCCCTGATAATTTTTTAAATACTGGTTTTCAGATTTGTTTTTGAGAATGTGTAAGCAGCTTTTTACTGCACATAATTTACCTTTTCAATTCTAGAATTTAACTGAATCATTTAGTAGGGAAGTGGGAAAGTGAACTAGTTCAACCCTAGAAAGTGGCTGGGAAGAAGCCAGGTGTGACTTGAACTTTAGGGAAATGCGTATCAGGATTTAGTAGATTGCACTCCTCAGCCAGTGTGGCTGTGCATATTTTGATCTTCGGAAGGAAAAAAAAACACGGCTAACATTTGCATGTTTACCAAATAGTGTATGCTTGACTTGCATTATCTCATTGAGTTCGTACAGCAACCCTGTGAGAATGATGCTGCTTGATCCCTGCATTAAACGTAAGGAAACTGAGGCTTAAGGCATTTAAGTGTCTCAGGCATTAAGTGACAGGGCTGGGACTGGCTTCCAGTGCTTCTCTCACGCCCCAGCTAGTAAGTGTTGCATTGTACTGAAGAAAGGTACTCAAGAAGGAGACAGAAGCAGGTAATGCGTTGTTTAGTGTGACTGGAGTCTATGGCTGCTGTGTGTAGAGAGGTAGAGACAGACAAGGTTAGAAAAGTAAGAAGAGGCTAGAGGAGAAATCTGTTTCTTTCTTTGCTATTTCTCCTTGCTGACGATGTTAACACTAGGAACCACTGAAGGGTTGTAAGTAGGGAAGTTGTACAATCCGAGTATTTGCAAAGTAGTTGTGGCCCTAGAATGTGCAGTGAATTGAAGTGTAGGGAGGTTGGTGAGATGCCTTAACAAGAATGTGCATTAATGATGGCAAGGGTCTAACCCAAGTTACTGAAGATGGGTGAGGTGGAGTTATTTTTAGAACGCTGTGAAGGTGAAATGTAGAGAGTTTAGCACTTAGCTGTAAGAGTGAAGAGTATGTGTGACTGTCAGGTTCTGGACTCTGTCACCACACAGGTATGTGCCCTGTAACCAGACGGAAAAGTGTGTCACTGAGGAGGAGTAAGACAGTTCATTCTTCTTAAAACTTGTTGAGTTTGAGATGTGTGGGAACATTCAGATAGTTTCAAAATACAGGACAGTAATTCAGGAGAGAGCTCTGAATTCAGAAGTAGGGTTTATAGGTGTGTGTGTCTATGGGAAATATGTAGAGTGAAAACTACTCATTCGGAAGCCTGTGTCCTTTGACATAGACAATAGATAACTAAAATGTGTAAAAAATTTGTGCAGGGAAAAGTTACCTAATAATGATTTTTATGTTTGATAATGTGTAGGATTCTTATAAGGACACAAGAAAGCATTTCTAAATTTTAATAATTTATTTGTAGGAAATGTGTACTGTTGAAGAACCCAATGAAGAATTTACATCTAGGCATAGTTTAGAATGGAAGTTTCTGTTTCTGGATCACAGGTAACTCCATTTTTAAATTTTGTAAAAAAATTAATAGTCATATAATTCTTGAAATTAATGGGTTTTAAGGACAAATTTTTTTCTAATCTGGAACTTTGGGGAAAAAATAAAGCCACTTCAAATTCATTTCTAGTTGGAATATTTCTAATTATGGAAAGAATTGTAATCTCGATTGTTTTATATGTAATTTAGGGCACCACCCATAATAGGATATTTGCCATTTGAAGTTTTGGGAACATCAGGTTATGATTACTATCATGTGGATGACCTAGAAAACTTGGCAAAATGTCATGAGCACTGTAAGTAGATTTTAATACTTCTGTTATTTACTTTTTAAGTTACGTAAACAGAAATCCTGTCCTGTTAGTGGAAAGAGATAAAATGCAGATTTAAAACCATTTTTGTATTTTTGAAATATACTGGGAAATTTTGCTTTGTATGTATAACAAATCGAATAGGAGTCATGAAGTTTAAGCAAACTTGTTGCAGTTTTACATTTCAGTTTACTGTAATAAGTCTTGTTCTAAAACATCTTGTTCTGAATTGTATAAACTCTGCACCTGGAGTAAGAGAAGTAGATTCCTTTGAAAATGGTCATAGTATTGGGAGTCTGTTGGAAAAAGCTCACAGTGGGCGCTCAGCTCACACCTGGCTGCTGTTGCTGCCGGCAGCAGGAGTGTGGCTACCGCACTGTGCCAGTGCTTCCCTGAACAGTCACATTTATTGTCACTGTAGTTACAGCAGGCACTGGCATTCTCGCCAGGAGTAAACTGAGTCATGGAGGGCGGAGGAACTGACTCGGCACAGCTTGTGAGTGACAGCAGGGTGCAGGCCTACCCCATTACCACGTGCTCTTCATTCTTTGTTTCGGGGACTTGTAAGGATTGGTCTTACTTGCTTCTCTGCCCTCTCTCTACGTCTGCCCTCTTGGGTGTGCTGTAAAGCTTGCGTAGATATTTTATATACTTTGATGACGTAAACTCTGTATGAAAGAAACCATGTTACATGTGATAGCATCAACTGGAAATTTTCAGAGTAAAGTCCTTTTGACACAAAAGAAAACATTCACTCTGTTGTGTGGTGACCACGCACCTGATGAAGTGGGAAAGACCTGGCACTTTTGTTAACCAACTGGGTGACTTTGGAGAAGCGATTTTGTGTTGTAGACTTTGGTTTCCTGAGAGAGAGAGAGAGTGGGTGATCTATCGATCCTGTCCAGCATTTACTTAGATTTGCTACATTGAATGCCAGTCTGTTAAAAAAAGGATTTTATAGTTAAGGAACACTGGGGAAAACGTCATAATCCCTTTCCAAGAATACCTTCACTCGAGTTTTGAGAAATTGAAGAAACTATTTATCAAAAAACTTCCCAAATTTAATCATTAGCCTATTTTTTTGCTAAACATTTGTTAAAAGGTTTCAGAACATAAAATTTACAAAGCATATTTTGCAAAATGCTGTACTTAGCAGTTACTTGAAACAGTGAAGTTATTCTGATTTTGGTTAAGGTTTAAACAAATATTTTTAAAGATTTTTAAAATTTATTTTAGAGGTAGAGTTACAGATAGAAAGGTCTTCCACCCTCTGGTTCACTCCCCAAGTGGCTGCAATGACCAGAGCACTGGGCTGATCCAAAGCTAGGAACCAGGAGCTTCTTCCGGGTCCCGCACAGTGCAGGGGCCCAAGCTCTCTCATCAGAGAGCTGGATCGGAGGAGGAGCAGTCGGGACACAAACCTAGTACTCATATGGTGTGCCAGCACTGCAGACGGAGGCTTAGCCCGCTACGCCACAGGGCCGGCCCCAAGGTTTAAAATTAAACGTCTCAAAGATGACTGTACCTGCCAGAGAATCTGTGGGCTGGTGGGAGCTTAGATGCAGTTTCTTATTGCTGTTACTGTCAGTCTGTCATGAGGAAGTCCACAGTGTGAATTCTTGAGTATTCGCAAGTTCGTTGTCTACTTTAAAAAGTGTGTAAGATCAGCAATAACTGACTGCAAGTTAGGCTGTGTGAGGGAACTGACGCCTGCTTGGAACCTTGAAGTATCTCTGAGGAATAGCATTTTCTTATAACTGATAGGCATGTGTTTGAAAATCCAGAAAAAAATTGTATATTTAGATTTACATGTAGATATAAATGTTAGCTTTTGGTTAAGAATAGGTTCTATATAACTAATAATACCGATGAAATAAAAAAAATAAACACTTTTCCTTTTTTCTTTTTAGTAATGCAGTATGGGAAAGGCAAATCATGTTACTACAGGTTCCTGACCAAAGGACAGCAGTGGATTTGGCTTCAGACTCATTATTATATCACCTACCATCAGTGGAATTCAAGGCCGGAGTTTATTGTTTGTACGCACACTGTAGTAAGGTAACAGTTCTTTTAGAGAATTTCTGAATTAGAGTAACATCTTATAATGATTTGAGCGATGTAATTTTATGCATGACTTGTTAATGAACTACAAAGTGATCTTCTGCAAAGTTCAGTACATCCTTTTGGTATTCTGTTAAATTTTTATAGGCATTATATAGAAATAGGCGTTATGTAGACATATGTTTGACATAAATTTTGTGCATTACAGCAGAAGTTGTAACTGTCCTTTATGTTCCCAAGCGAATCGTGTAGAGGAAAAACTGGAGCAGATCAGCACCCTTCCTCTGTTTAGATCCTCTTAGTTACTGCGCGGCTGTGTGTCGTTACAGTAGTAGCACATCAGGCTTGGGGTACTGGGAAAACAGCTGGACTTGGGACACTTCACTGTGGGTATCGTTTGGATTTGTGTAGCATATGGAAAATGGTCTAGAGTTAGAGATGAGCAGGTGAGACACATAACAAGCACTAGATGGTTGACAGCTCTGTGGTATTTTGAATGAATGACCAAACACTAAAATGTAAATTTTTCCTATTTGTAGTTATGCCGAAGTTAGGGCTGAAAGACGACGAGAACTTGGCATTGAAGAATCTCTCCCGGAGACAGCTGCTGACAAAGTATGTTTTACAGCTTTCAGAAAATTATTTAATTTTCTTTCCAATGAAAGATGAGACTTGATAAGGAGATTAATTTTCAAATATTTCATCATCTCATTTGTGACAGGGATATGATTATTTTTAATGTAATATTTTATAAATATTTAAACAAATGAAGATGCTGATGTTTAGCAATAATTGGGTGACAGACAAATGAGAAGACTTCAAAAAATTTGTGGAAAATGAGGACCAGTGTTATGATATAGCAGGTAAAGCCACCTCATGTAATGCTGGAATCCCCTGTGGGCGTTTGTTTGAGTCCCAGCTGCTCCACTTCCAATCTAGCTCCTTGCTAGTGCACCTGGGAAAGCATCGGAAGGTGGCTCAAATGCTTAGGCCCCTGCACCCATGGGGGAGACCTGGAAGAAGCTCCTGGCTCCTGGCTTCAGTCTGGCCCAGTACTAGCCACTGTGGCCATGTGGGGAGTAAACCACTGAATGGAAGATCTCTCTCTGTAACTCTACCTTCCAAATAAATAAATTAAATCTTTTAAGAAATATGGAAAATGGAATTAAAAGATTGCTTATTTTGGTGCAAGAAAATTTTTAAGTCCTTAACAGAGTTTTTTCATAATACACATTTTCCATGAACTTTGTGAAGACTCCCTTGTATTTGATCTTTTTTTTTTTTAAGATTTATTTATTTATTTGAAAATCAGTTACACAGAGAAGGAAAGGCAGAGAGAGAGAGTCTTCCATTGCTGGTTCACTCTCCAATTAGCTGCAGTGCCCGGAGCTGCGCCGATCTGAAGCCAGGAGCTTCTTCTAGGTCTCCCACGTGGGTGCAGGGGCCCAAGGACCTAGGCCATTTTCCACTGCTTTCCCAGGCCATAGCAGAGAGCTAGATTGGAAGTGGAGCAGCAGAGACTCGAACCGGTGCCCATATGGGATGCTGGCACTGCAGGCGGCGGCTTTACCCGCTACGCCACAGTGCCAGCCCCTGTATTTGATCTTAAAAAGAAAGCTAACAGCTTATTAACTATGATGTGCTAGGCTCTGGTTGGATTCTTTATATAAATTAAAAAATATGATTTACTCCTTAGACATTTGTATCTGGTAGGTTCTCTCTCTCTCTCTTTCTTTTTTTTTTTTTTTTTTTTTGTAGAGCTTTTTTTATTTGAGAGGCAGAGTTACAGAGAGAAAGAGGGAGAGAGAGAGGTCTTCCATCGTCTGGTTCATTCCCCAAATGGCCACAACGGCTGGAGCTGGGCTGATCTGAAGCCAGGAGCCAGAAGTTTCTGCCTGGTCTCCCACACAGGTGCCAGGGGCCCAAGCACTTTACCATCTTCTGCGCTTTGCCAAGCCATTAGCAGGGAGCTGGATTGGAAGTGGAGCAGCCAGGTCTCAAACCAGTGCCCATATGGGATGCCAGCGCTGTAGACAGAGGCTTAACCTGCTGCACCATAGCTCCGGCCCCACTATCTTTTCTTTGAGAACACTGAAACTGAGGTTTCAAGGTGTATGGGGAACCTCTCCTGAAGACACATAACTGGGAAATCGAAGTCAGAATTAGAACCCTGACGGCTTCGTTAGTTGTCAGGTAGAAGTACAGTGTCTTCGTTATCTATTGCTGTATAATAGATTACTCCAAAACCTAGTGACCAGAACAACACACCTGTCATCTCAGTTTAGGTGGCCCAGACGTAACGTAGCTGGACCCTCTGCTTTGGATCTGTCACAGGCTGCAGTTACTGAGTCAGTGGGGGCCCGGCTGAGGCCGTGTGTATTTGCAACTCAGTGGTGTGGTTGTGAACTGGTTCCTCGTGGGCACTTGGACTCAGGGCCTTGGCTGCTTGCTGGCTGAAGGCCAGAGGACATCCTGGGTTTCTTTTCAGCTGACCCTCTCTGTCTAAACAAGCACGCAAGAAGATCCAGGGGGACACAATACCGGCACGGTGCAAGTCGCAGTCTTTTGTATCCTAACCACAGATGTGATATCCTGTGACTGTATCTGTTCTGTGCATTGTGGAAGCAGGTAACTAGGTCCAGGCTATACTTGGAGGGCCTGCCCAAGGGCATGAGTACCAGGAGGCAGGAAATACTTGACTGTCATGGGTGAAGTTGACTCCCACAAGTATTTTTAACCTACAGAAAATACATGGAATGGAAAGAGTCCAGAATCTAGGTATAAAAGTGAGTTCAGTGGTCAGTGTGCCGGGCGACAGTGCGGGGCTATTCAGCCAGCCATTTAGTCAGCAAACCTTAACTGCAAGCCATGTGCCAGGCTTAGCTCCAGGTGCTGTGAAGAACACAAAGAGGTTTCTGCAGTGTGGATCCCACATGGCAGAATGTTCCCGGAGAGCCTGGATGCGTGAGTAAGGCAAATTGTTTCCTTTCTGAGAGTGGGTAGTGCTTACGCCTAGGGTTCTTTGATGGGGGCCATGATAGAAATAAGAGTAACACGGAGATTTTCATCCTTGTTTCTTCTTTTTCCCAGTCCTAGTAAATACAGTTAGCCTTCCTAACAGTGCTCCAACTCTGTCTACTTTCTCCCTGTATTTACCGCTACCACCGCGACCCGCCCGGAGCTTGGGGAAGGGCTCCGAGCTAGTCTGCAGAAATCTATGTGTGGATGGTTTTCTTAAGTCATGCATTTTGATCATGGCCCAGGGCAAGGGGCTGTAGACGGAAGAGAAGATGAGCAAGGACCACGCCTCGGGGCACTGGGGCCTTGAGAGGTGAGGGAGACAAGGAAGGACCAGCCTCAGAGGAGTCGGGAGGAGCTGGCGAGACAACAGCAGAGCCCGAAGCAGGAGTGTGTTGCCGAGGAGCGAGCCATCAGCTGCCTTGGATCTGGTGCAGTAGTCGCCTAGAGGAGAGCATAACTAAAGTGGGTTTAAAGAAGATTTCTAGGAAAAGGAGTGAGAGACAGTGAGTAGAAAAGGCTTTTGCTACAGAAGAGAAAATGGGTCAGTGTAGGAAGGGAGTCAGGTTTAAAGGAAATTTTTGCTTTTTAAGATAAAGAAAGAATAGCCTATTTGGGTACTGATGAGAGTGATGCAGCAGGAGAAGTTGGTTGATAAGGGGACATTGAAGGAGAAGTGCTAGAGTTCTTGAGTAGGAGACGCAAGATGAGGCCTGGCCCACCAGTAGAGGATTGCATTTAGCTGAAGGGACCAGTTATTCAGCAACGGCAGAGGTGGCAAACTGACCTGTAGGCCACATCTATCTGGCCCTCTCACTAGCCTTGTAGTGTCCAGAAACTACAGATGTTTTTTACATATGTAAGTGGTTAGAAAAAATCAAGAGTAATATTTTATGACACATGGAAAATATAGCAAATTCAAACTCGAATGTTGATAAATGACAAAACCACCTCAGCTGTTGTGTACTGTCTGCGGCTGCTTTTGAGCTAAACAGCAGAGTTGAATAGTTGAATAGTTGTCCCACAAAACCTAAAATATTGACCCTCTTATCCCTACAGAAAAAGTTAGCTGATCTCTGATTATAACGTACAGAAAGTTGGGGTACAGATGCTGATGGGTTGGTATGTCAGTTGGTCAGTCATTTGGTTGGTCGGTGGATGGATGAGTAGGAAGGTACAGTGTGTGGACTTGTAGCAGTATTCTCAGTGAAATAGGAACCAAAGTTACCACCAAGAGTCAGGTTAGGAGAGGAATTGTTGAAGGTTTGAAAAGAGAGGAAAAAGTGTTAAATGGTTTTGTAGAAGAGGAGAGTCAGTGTTCTAGGGAATTATAGTCTGGTAGGCAGATAAGAGCCCATTCAAGGTTTTTAGTCATTGATTTAAAGTGGGATCAAGTCACCGTGTTTTCTTCCTCATTCATATTCAGCCACGCAGAAGCAGGCCTGGGATGGGTAAAAAATTGGATTTAAAATTGGCACTGGGATTTTACCAGGGGAGTGTGATGACAGGAGGTAGGAGCCAGAGAGTTGAAGATAAATTTGCTAAGGAGTTTCTGTAATAATAATGGATCACGAGTTTAAGCTGGATAGAGAGGGGAAAGAGTCTGGTTGTGAAAATGTGGCAAAGTAAATGTATTACGGTTAGGACTAAAGATGATCAGAGTTGGAATACTAAAGTGGATGAATAGGAAATGGTGGTCAAAGCAGGGAAAGCTTGAAACTGAGATTATGGAAAGTTTATTCGTACCAGTGATGGCACAGTGCAGAGTTTGATGGAAAGGACCAGTGGAAGTCGGCATCTCTGGAGGGAGGTGACTTCAAGGGAAAGGGGGTCCTCGTTTTGAATATGTGACAGTATCTAACCTGGTGTTGAAGATTGATGAGGGGACACTGAGCCAGGAGCGAGCGTTTTACTTCAGGTGCTCCACGGGGAATGAGCTGTACACGCCTGTAACGGCACAGTGGGTTCTGGGCAGAGAATGAAAGCCTGAGAGCTGGGAGTTCGGGGGGCAGGGAGGGAGTGTGGTCTGGAAACACCAATTGGAGGCTTCGTGTTCCACCTCCAACCTCTGATCTGAGGGCCGTGAGAGAGAAAAGAGCCACTACAACGAGCCGTGCAGGAGGACAGGGCTGGCGAGACCTGAGGGTCCTTGGAGCAGGCCAGTGGAGCCTGCAGGATGAGGGTAAGAGGGTGCAGCATTTTGTTGATTCTGGACTCCTGAACAGAAGGGTTTCAGAAGCTGGGAGGCGGTGGGAGGCAGAGACAACAGGAAGTGGCAGTGGAGTGGAGACTGCGGCACTGAGTCCTGCCACCCTCTTTCTTCCTGGATAGCACAGGTGGTGATCATACTGCTCACGTGCATGTACGTGTCTACGTGAATGTATGCATCCGTTGGGGTGCATATAAGCCCATTTCTGTGGCTTCCCTTCAGTGAGAAGAGAGGCCCATTTCTTTTATTTCTTTTTATTTATTTTTTAACTTTTATTTAATGAATATAGATTTCCAAAGTACAGCTTATGGACTACATTGCCCCCCCCCCCCATGACTTCCCTCCCACCCGCAACCCTCCCCTTTCCCGCTCTCTCTCCCCTTCCATTCATATCAAGATTCATTTTCAATTTTCTATATATACAGAAGATCAGTTTAGTATACATTAAGTAAAGATTTCAACAGTTTGCACCCACATAGAAACACAAAGTGAAAAATACTGTTTGAGTACTAGTTATAGCATTAAATCTCAATGTACAGCACACTAAGGACACAGATCCTACATGAGGAGTAGAGAGGCCCATTTCTTAGTCACTGCTGCATGTGGAGAACGTTTGATAGGACACTCAGCTCTGTTACAATGTGGAGCATAGAAGGATGGCTGTGTTACAATACAAGTTACAGGGCTGGCGCCTTGGCTCACTTGGTTAATCCTCCGCCTGTGGCGCCGGCATCCCATATGGGTGCTGGTTCTTGTCCCGGTTGATCCTCTTCCAGTCCAGCTCTCTGCTGTGGCCCGGGAGTGCAGTGAAGGATGGCCCAAGTGCTTGGGCCCGGCACACACATGGGAGACCAGGAGGAAGCACCTGGCTCCTGGCTTTGGATCGGCGTAGCGCTGTCCATAGCGGCCATTTGGGGAGTGAACCAACGGAAGGAAGATCTTTCTCTCTCTCTCTCTCTCTCTCTCCCACTGTCTATAACTCTGTCAAATAAATAAAAATAAATAAACAAGCAAATAAAAAATAGAATACAAGTTAGAGTAGTGGCAGGATTATGTATTTCATGGTGGCAAGGTAGGTGTTCTTGTAAGGCAAAGCCATTAGATGGGAATGGGAGGCGGGTTTCACAACGATGGGAACGGTGTGGAGTAGTTGGCAAGAGTAGGAAGGCGAGCCCACCAGAATCACTTCACAGCACTGCTGCCGAGCGCCGGGTGCTTGGCTGAGGTTGATGAGCATTTTAGGTTAGCTGGCATGGTTTGCAGGGGAACCTTGAGCAAGTACATGAGATGGACAGGAAAGCAGTTGTGTAAGGTAGCATTTTCATTTGTACCATTAGAACTGGTGCAGAGGTCAAATGACTGAGAGAGGTTCAGGAAAAGGTTGTTGGAGACTAGCTGAGAGGCAGCATAAGCCGAGTTTCAAAGATGGTTACCCTACTTTGTGTATATATTAAGGTATCAACTTTATTGTGTTTTTTTATTTTTATAAAACATACAAGTTAGATTTTAGCAGTTTTTAAGGGTACAGTTCAGTGTTATTAAGTAGCATTCACACTCTTCTTTTAAAAAACATTTATTATGTGAAGGCAGAGATAGAGGGAGAGAGAGAGAGAATCCATTGGTTCACTCCCCAGATGGTCACAACAGCTGGAGCTAGGCTGGCTGAAGCCAGGAGCCAGGAGCTTCCGGGTCTCCCACACAGGCGCAGGGGCCCAAGCACTTGGGCCGTCCTCTGCTGCTTTCTCAGGCCACAGCAGAGAGCTGCATCAGAGATGGAGCAGCCAAGAAATGAACTGGTGCTCATGTGAGATGCCGGCACTGCAGGTGGAGGCTTAACCTTCTACCCCACGGTGCTGGCCCCAGCATTCACGCTGTTGGACAGCTGTGTCATCACCACCCACGTCCAGAACTTTCTCATTTTCCCAGACTCCATGCCCATTAACAACTGGCCACCCCTCTTCCCCTAACCCCTGCCAGTCATTCTACTCTGTGCCCAGGAGTTTGACACACAGGATTGTCCTTCTGTGACGGACTTCACTCAGCTCCGTGTTCTCAGGGAACGCCCGTATTGTAGCAGAGGTCAGAACTACGTCTGCTCTCTGAAGGCACAGTAATCTTCCCTGGCAGATGTGTACACATTTTGCTTATCTGTTCATCTGGCAGTGAGCACTCCACTTGCTTTTGCCTGTGGCTGTTGTGAGTGATGCTACTATGAACACGGGTGTGCAGTATCTGTTTGAGTCCTGCCTGCATGTATTTTGTGTACATTCAGAAGTAGATTTGCTGGTCATATGATGATCTTCGTTTCGTTTTTTGAGAAGCTGCCATGCTGTTTCCGTAGTGTCTGTGCCATTCTCACATTGTGCACCACCGGTGCATCAGAGTTGCAATTTCTCCACGTCCCTGCCAACACTGGCTATTTTCTGTTGCTTGATGACAGTCATCAGAATGAATGTGAGGCGGTGTGTGTCATTGTGGTTGTGAGTTGTGCTCCCCTCGTAATTAGTGAGGCTCAGCAAGTTTTTGTGTGCTCTTGGCTATTTGTGTGTCTTCATCGGAAAACTGTTTGGTGCACCCTTTGTTCAGTATTGAACTGGGTTTGTTTTTCATTGTTGTATAAATTCTTTATATGTCTTGGATATTAACTTGTTATCAGATACATGATTTGGAAATAATTTCTTCCCCCCCTTTGGTTTGCCTTTTTCCTTGTTGATGGAGTCCTTTAAGACACAGCGTTCCTAATTGTGATGAAGGCGTGTTTCTGGGCAAATCCAGCGTCTTCACGCTTTCCTCCTCTGTTCCTTCTAACAGCTCATGGTCTGGGCTGGTATGTGTAGGCCTTTTGTATGTGGTGGAAGGCAGGGCCCAGCTCCTTTTTTTTTTTTTTTTTTTTTTTTGTTAATGGTGAATGAACCCAAAACTTTGCCCTTACCTAATGCATACATAGATCCTTTTACTTAACTGTGTATAAAAAGTAAATTTTTCTTTTTCGATTACAAAGCAGTATCTCTAATTTAAGATCTCTGCACAGAATCACAAAAAACCATTTATTATACTGTCTCCTTAGAGCCAAGACTCTGGTTCTGATAATCGGATAAACACAGTCAGCCTCAAAGAAGCACTGGAAAGGTTTGATCACAGCCCAACCCCGTCTGCTTCCTCCCGGAGTTCAAGAAAATCATCTCACACGGCGGTCTCAGACCCTTCCTGTGAGTACGCGCCTGCAGGCAGACCTGAGAGGGGAGCGCCACCGCGCTTTGTTTCTGCTGTCAGCACCTTATTGCTAATGCTTCTTGAAAGTTGCAAGTTTTTATAGTTGTGAAACACGTTCACCTTTTCAGTGAGTGAGGGGTACGTTGCTCGCCTGTGACACAGTCAGGCTTGAGTGCCCTGTCAGACCTGTGAGTGGGAAGTGTTGGAATTGAGTAGTAATTGTCCCTCAAAGAGAAAGCAAAACTATTTCTATAGAGCCAGTGTGCATGCTGTTTGCTTTGCTTTCTTTTTTTTTTTTTTCATTTTACTTATTTATTGATAGAGTTACAGAGAGAGGGAAAGAGAAAGAGAAAGGTCCTCCATCTGCTGGTTCACCCTCCGAATGGCCTCAACAGCCAGAGCTGGGCCTATCGGCATCCAAGAGCCAGCAGCTTCTTCCAGGTCTCCCATGTGAGTGCAGGGGTGTTACCAGGCCCATTGGGACTCCCAGGTGCACTAGCAGGGAGCTGGATTGGAAGTGGAGCAGCGGAGACACAAACCAGCACCCACATGGGATGCTGGTGCCTACTACACTACAGTGCTGGCCGCTGTGTTTGCTTTTTAAAGTAAACCTTTTTGAAACTGTCTTTAGTATCTTGTCTTTATGTAGGTAAGACTTTAAATTGCCATCACAGGTTCTGCATCTGGTTGGTGGAGTCAGCCAACCTCAGATCAGAATGGGGAAAAGGATGAGGCTGTACTGAACGTGTACAGACGTTTTTCCTTGTTATTCCCTAAATATTACAGAACACTGTCCACACAGCATTTGCATTGTCTTAGCTGTTAGAAGTAATCTGGAGGTGACTTGCAGGGTACACGGAAGGATGTGCACAGGTACTGCACAAACACGCCGTGTCATGGGAGGGAGGGGAGCCCCTGGGTTCCAGAGCTGATTCCCTGACGGTGCTAAGGGATGACTGTAGCAACTATTTTTTTCCCTTAATTTGCTGTTCTACTTGTTTTTAAGATTTGTTTATTTATTTATTTGAAAGGCAGAGTTACAGAGATGCAGAGAGAGAGAAAGAGACAGAGAGGTCTTCCATCCGCTGGTTCACTCCCCAAATGGCTGCAACGGCCAGAGCTGGGCCAATCCAAAGCCAGGAGCCAGGAGCTTCTTCCTGGTCTCCTTCGTGGGTACAAGGGAAGGTCCATTAATAGGGAGCTGGATCAGAAGAAGAGCAGCTGGGACTCGAACCGGCACCCATATGGGATGCCAGCACTGCAGGTGGCGGCTTTAACTGCTACGCTACAGCGCTGGCATCTATAGCAACTATTTTTACATTTAAAAGTTTTCCCATTCAGATATTTTCTTTGTCCTTGAAAAACCAAAAAGAATTACAATGAATTGTCATGGACTTTGTGAGTGATTTAGAAAAATAACTCAGAAACCATTTTTATTCCCTGAAATACATTTTGAGATCAACCTTGATCCAGTCCTACTGTCGTTCTGTCTTTGCTGACTGATTTTAGCAACCCCCACAAAGACGCCAGCAGATGCCAGCACCCCTCCCCGGCAGCGCTTGCCCGTCCACGAGAAGCCGGCACAGAGGAGGCCGTCGTTCGGCAGCCAGGTGAGCTCCGGGAGCGCCCAGGCCGTCCGAGAGGAAGTCGGGATTTCACCCCCTTCCCTGCAAATCCACGCAGTTGTTGATAGGTCATTCAGGGTGGGTGTGTGTGTGTGTGTGTGTGTGTGTGTGTGTGTGTGAAGAGGTTGTCATGCACATCTTCACATAAAACCTTGGTTTGTTTTTTTGTTTGTGAAAAGACAGTAACTGAGAGCCGTTTTGTTCTGAGTTCAGATTCCAGTGCCCTTAGTTAAGTCTACCTGCATTTTTCGGAAGCTCATGGATGGTGCCGTAGCAGGTGCCTTGGGAGGTGACAGGTAAGTAGGGAGCAGGCCTTCCTCACCTGTGCTCTGCTGACAGAAGACTAAGGCACGCTGCACGCCCAGGGACAAACACGTCATTTTGTATTTCTGGTGGAAGCGCGCGTGTGTGGAATAAGCATCACTTTAGCATTGTTTTCTGTTTTGCTTCTAGTCCATAAATTCTCCGTCTGTTGGTGTGTCATTAACACAGCCAGTGATGTCTCAGCCTGCAAATTTACCGATTCCACAAGGCATGTCCCAGGTATCTGTCTTTGTTTATTTGAGTAATTAAAAGGAATAACTTTGCTTTTAAGCTAATAATAATTTTAAAAATACTTAGTTGTAGATGTCTCAGCTGGGGATGTTTTTGATTGTCGTATAGTTGTGGGACACCCCTGACCTTATGTGGGCAGGGGTCAGGGTTGTTGCATGACAACAAAGACTGTCCTGCTTACTGTGCCATAGCACAGGTTTTTTTTGTTTTTGTTTTTTTAAGATTTTATGTATTTGAGAGGTAGAGTTATAGACAGTGAGGGAGAGGGAGAGACAGAGAGAGAGAGGTCTTCCTTCCGTTGGTTCACTCCCCAGATGGCCGCCATGGCCAGAGCTGCACCATTCCGAAGCCAGGAGCCAAGTGCCTCTTCTGGGTCTCCCATGTGGGTGCAGGGGCCCAAGGACTTGGGCCATCTTCTACTGCTTTCCCAGGCCATAACAGAGAGCTGGATAGGAAGAGGAGCAGCCGGGACTAGAACCGCTGCCCATATGGGATGCCATTGCCACAGGCGGAGGATTAACCTGCGCCACAGCGCCGGCCCCGGAATTAAGTAGCTTTATTCCTGTATTCACTAACTCATGTATAGGTATTACTGAATTCCTTGTATGTGACAGGTGTCACAGGCGCCAGCAACAAAATTATATCTGTACTGAGAGGCTGTTCCTTCCAGAGTGTGACCGATAGCTGCAGGTCTTGTTACATGGTTTGTGTGCTCAAGGTATATAGGCTGATACTGGAGCACAATGTATGGACTCTTAACGGAGCCCGAAGAAGTCAAGGAAAACGTATGTTGCCTGGCCTGTGGCCTGGGAGAGGCCCAGATAGAAAAATTAGCAAGACAGAGAATATTTCAAAAGGCTGCAATATGCTGCTTTTGATCATAACTTCTCAATTTGTGATTCTTCAAACACTTTAAACATACCACGTGGGTAGTGTAGACTGTTGATTAGCATTAAGGATAGCTCGACTTAGCAGTGTCTTGATTTCAGTTAATGGTAATTGATAATTTATAAAAAGAGCATTTTAAAAATTATATAGTTATTAAATTTACATATATCACTGTGCTATAACATGATACATGCACAGAAGTATTGGCAATCTTGTAAGTTAACTGAGCTCTATAATCTTGATTTTTAGCAACACAATATTATGTGAAGTCTATAACAGCATTTTTTTTTTAAGATTGATTTATTTATTTAAAAGAGTTAGAGAAGGAGAAGCAGAGAGAGAGAGACAGACAGAGAGAGAGAGAGGGGGGTGTCTTCCATCCGCTAGTTCACTCCCCACTTGACCACAATGGCCAGAGCTGGGCCAATCCAAAGCCAGGAGCTTCCCCTGGGTCTCCCAAGTGGGTGCAGGGGCCCAAGGGCTTGGGCCATCTTCACTGCTTTCCCAGGTCATAGCAGTGAGCTGGATCGGAAGAGGAGCAGCCCAGACTCAAACCGGTGCCCATATAGGATACCAGCACTGCAGGCAGTGGCTTTCTCTGCTACACCGCAGCGCCGGCCCCGGCACTGTTATTAAATACTGTATTTAGTTACAACAGTTTTAATCAGTGTTGAGTCCTCAAAACCCAATTATTTTGAAGTGAATTAATAGAACTTTTATGTAAATATTGAGACATGCATACTCTTGGTTTTATTGTCTAATCTCAGGATACTGAATAAGCATTTCCTACAATTTTATAGGGATATTTTAATGAAATAAATAATATGTGCTATGTCAAAAATGTTAGTAAGCATCCAGACCTCACATTTCATTCACTAATAAAGCCAAACATTTTGCCTCTAGTTCTGTGGTTTTATTTCTAGTATCTTGCCTTTTGTATTTGTTTGTTTTCTTATTTGCACTTAATAAGAAATCTTTTAAATGAAGACAATATAATATTTACACAAGGATACAAATAAAATATTTTTATGTGACGTAAAGAAGATATTTTGATTGGTATTTAAAGATAAGAGGGAGCTGAGATATTAATTTTGTAAAATCTCAAAATATTACGTATAGTGATTGTTAGCTTCAGCAGTCAGTTGTATACTTTGAAAAGTAGCATTTGATATCTTTAATATAAAATTTTGAAGAGATTTAATTAAAAAGCTTTTGGGGGGCATTTCTCACTTTTACACTAAGTTCATTGTAGGAGACTGAAGATAGATTTCCAATGAAATGAAACTTCCTGCTGTTACATTGTGTCAGGTACTGAATATTTATGGAGATAATTAAATGACCACCAGATGAGGTTCAGTTACAAGTGGTAGACAGCAGGCGCTTCCTATGACTCAGATGCCACATGAAAATAAGTGAGTTTGAAAACCCTGTGAGTGTTCTAGCAGAAGTTTTTCATTCCTGTGTGCATTCCTTCACCTGGAATTGCTTAGTCACTGAAAGCCTGTGTTTTATACTTGTCTGAAGACAGTTTCATTTAAAAATACTACTGTTGGTTATATGTCAGATTTTTGTAACTCTGGGTAGTTCTGTAGCTGTGTGCACGAAGGACCTTCTGGAGGTGACGGAGTTGTTATGAACAGTCCAAGTGCAGGCTCCTTTTTGATTTGTTACGGGTGGAACTAGAGATAAAAAGTCGAAGAACTTGCTGCAGTGGGTAGGGGAGCGCAGGTCCTCACCTCCGCGCTGTGCGGTGTCAGGATCCCGTCGGAAGTTGAGCACAACAGGAAGGTGGACGGGAATAACATACAAGCATCAGTGCAGATTGGAGACTTACCTGAAATGTTTGGGACCAGAAGTATTTTGGGGTTTGGGATTTTTCAGATTTTGGAATATCATAGGTTTTACCAGCTAAGCATCCCTGACCCCAAAATCTGAAATGGGAAACAGTCCAAAATTGAAGCCTGCTAAGTGCCGCTCAGAGCATGCGTTTTGGAGCATTCTGCATTTTGGATTTGCTGTCCCCTCCCTGAGGCTGATAACACATAACTCCTGCAAGAAGGGGAGACCTCGGGGCCCAGGGATAGCGGCGGCGGGGAGGACGGCCACAGTGAGTCAGACGGAGTTCTCAGGGGAGCAGCCGGGTTGGGGGCCCCCGGTCTTCTCAGTGGTCAGACAGAGTTCTCAGGGGAGCAGCCGGGTTGGGGGGCCCCGGTCTCCTCAGTGCATCTGCCTCTTGCCAGGGTGAATCCAGTCTCTTCAGGGCAGGTGAGGCTTGAACACAGCCATTCACTGAGGGCCACAGCTGGGACTGCAGAGCAGGAAGCCACGCACTGGTAGAGGTGCAGCTTTCTGGGAAGCTGCTGCGGGCACTGCTGTCATCGGAGGGAGGACAAGCCCAGGGATGCACGGCCCCGTGCGGGCACTGCTGCCATCGGAGGCAGGACAAGCCCAGGGATGCACGGCCCCGGGCGGGCACTGCTGCCATCGGAGGCAGGACAAGCCCAGGGATGCACGGCCCCGTGCGGGCACTGCTGCCATCGGAGGCAGGACAAGCCCAGGGATGCACGGCCCCGGGCGGGCACTGCTGCCATCGGAGGCAGGACAAGCCCAGGGATGCGCGGCCCCGTGCCCTCTCCACCAGCACCTCCGCCGCCTGGCTGCCCTCCCTTTGTGCCTGCAGGCAGAAGGGAAACCTCTCTCAGGTCCACCCCGGTGTCAGGAAGCAGAGCACAGCGGGTGGGTTAGGGGAAGAGGCATGCACTGATGGCTGCCATGACATTCTTAGCTTGCGACGTACTGCTGACTCCTCGTGTTGAGAACCTTAAGAAGTAATTAATACACGGCCCTTCAGTTTCAGTTTTCGGCTCAATTAGGAGCCATGCAGCATCTGAAAGACCAGTTGGAGCAAAGGACACGGATAATAGAAGCAAATATTCATCGGCAACAAGAAGAACTAAGGAAGATCCAAGAACAGCTTCAGATGGTCCATGGCCAGGGGCTGCAGGCAAGTTACTGCTGTATCTGAGTAGAGAGCCTCCCGTTCACGTCTTGGTTTGCTGGGAAGGCTGACTTTGCCTGATGCGAGTGAGTGCTGGGGATGCGTTTCATCACTGCCTGGCAGCCTCCTCAGCCCGATTCTCCTTAGAGTCCTCATGCATGCGTCGTTCATAGGGCTTCCTGCCAGCACCCCTGGTTTTCCAGAGTGGCCGAGTCCTCCTCCAGCAGTTTAGAGAGTTTAAGTCTGTGATATAAAAATTATATTTATCATCAACCTTGAGGTCCACTTAGATACACGATTTATAAATCAACCATAAGCGGTAATTTTACCAATGGGTATGATCTAAATTAGTCACCTGATCAACAAGCAAGACCGCTCTCCCAGATGGGAACTTTGAAGGGAGACTTCTTAAGTGAAAAGTTGTCTAATGTCATCAGTTACAAATCCTAGACGATGCAGAGCTGCCAGTCCACAGACCTCTGAGTAACACTAAGACTTTCCTAACCACTGGAAACCTGATAAAGTTAGAATGTGAAGTTTGATCATTATTGAGTAATTACTTATTATTAATTTTTCATTCAGAGTGAAAAGTCTCCTTGTTACTTTTTAAATTTAATTTGAAGCTCAGTTTTGTTTCTTTTAACGATCTTACTGTTTTTAACATCCAAAGCTCACTGGAACATAATCTTTATTTTTTAAGATGTTTTTGCAACAGTCAAACCCTGGATTGAATTTTGGTTCTGTTCAGCTTTCTTCTGGAAATTCGTCGAACATCCAGCAGTTGGCCCCTGTGAACATGCAAGGCCAGGTTGTCTCTGCTAACCAGATGCAGAGTGGAGTGAGTCCGGGACACATAGGCACAGCGCAGCACTTGATACCGCAGCAGGCTTTGCAGAGTACATCAGCGCAGGTAATGCTGGGAGAGCAGTGAGCTGCGAGAGCCTCCTGCTGAAGCAAAAATAAAGCTCTGTCCTGTAAAGGAGCACATTTTAAAATGTAAACTTTATTAGAACGTGGAGTGTGGAGAGTGGGGATTTCACTCTGTTGTGCAGTTATGTTGGTGTTAAATATTTTCAGTATTTTGACATTTAAAGAACTTGAGTCTACCTAAGGATCTAGTCGAGCGCTTGTACCGGGCAGGGTCTTGTAGCCTGTGCAGTATTTCTGTATGTTAGACAGGCCGAGCGGGAAGCAGCAGGAGCCTGTGCCAGAGCAGGCTGGGAGGGAGTGGTTGGTGGAGGCAGTGTTGGTAATGAGCGTGAGTCCAGGTTCCAGGACTTCCCAGGGCCTCTCACAGACATTGTTCTGGGACGCCTTACGTCACCCCAGGAGGCACACGTTCCTCTCCTCAGCCACGGCTTACCTTGTAGCGAAGCTTCAGGACGGGCCCGTTCTAGGTCACTGCACGCCAGCTGTGCGTAGGTTTCTCCCGCCTCAGCTGTTTCTAGGTGAGGAACAGCAGACGCTCGCTTCCCAGACGCCTTCCTCAGGTCACCTCTAAAATCTCTCTTGGCAGAGTCAAGCCGGTGTCCTGAGTGGGCACAGTCAGCAAACCTCGCTTCCCAGCCAGACGCAGAGTGCGCTGCCCGCCGCGCTCTACAACACCATGGTGATCTCCCAGCCTGCGGCCGGCGGCGTGGTCCAGATCCCGGCGAGTGTGCCGCAGAGCAGCGCCCCGAGTGCCACGGGCACCACCTTCACTCAGGACAGGCAGATAAGGTAGAGCTCGCGCGCCTGCCCTTCTCAGCGTTCTCAGGGGACTGTTACAGGAACTACAATTTGGTTTTTAAAAACATGCTTTTAGTTTGTCACCGCAGCCAGTGCTCTTAATTTGAAATCAAAGCTGAAGGTGTTTCCATTGTTGAAAGACTTTCTAATAAAAGAGTAACAGCACATTCTGTTTCGTGTCCAAAAATGTATTACCAAATGTGGGCACCATTGGACGGTTTATGACAGACTGTGTCACTGTGGGACTTCGATCTTTTCAGCACAGAAGCTAGAGAGTTGTGTAGCCCACCTGAAGTTTGTGAGGTGCTGGCGTTGTGGCATAGTGGGTAAAGCTGCCACCAGTGATGCTGGCATCGCAAGTGGGCCCCCGTGCCTGTCCTGGCTACTCTGCTTTCGATCCAGCTCGCTGCTGATGCATCTGAGAAAAAGCAGTGGAAGGTGGCCCAAGTGCTTGAGCACCTGCACCCACATGGGAGACCCGGATGAAGTCCCTGGCTTCTGCCTGGCCCAGCCCCAGCCGTTGCAGCCATCTCGGGAGTGAACCAGTGGGTAGAAGATCTCTCTGCCTCTTCCTTTCTCTAACTCTGACTTCCAAGTAGATAAATTCTGTGTGTGTGTGTGTATGTGTGTGTATGTGTGTTCTTAGGGTCATCATTATTTCCCAGATAAGAAAAAAGGGGTGTGTGTGTGTGTGTTCTTAGGGTCATCATTATTTCCCAGATAAGAAAAAAGGGGACTTTAGTAATTTTTGAAGAGATGTGTTTGAAAGGTAGAGATACAGAGAAAGAGGGAGGGAGAGAGCGAGCTTCATCTGGTTTCCCATGTGGGTGCAGGGGCCCAGTCACTCGGGCCATCCTCCACTCCTTTCTTAGGCACACGAGCAGGGGACTGGATTAGAAGTGGAGCATCCACGACTGAAATTAGCACCCATATGGGATGCTGGCGTCACGGGCAGAGGCTTAATCCACTGTGCCACAGTGGTGGCCGGACCCTGGAGTCAGACCTAAGGGTCTGATTTCAGAGTTCAAGTATTTAAACATTTATACACCTTTCTAGAAAAACAGCCCTTGTCACTTATTTCAGTAGGAAATCCTGATAGCCACCTTAGAAAACATTCTTTTAAGAAATGCCATTCATATGTTGAAATACTATCTTTTTTTTTTAAGATTTATTTATTTTACTTTAAAGTCAGTGTTACGTAGAGAAGGAGAGGCAGAGAGCGAGAAAGAGAGGTCTTCCATCCACTGGTTCACTCCCTGAGAGAGAGAGCGAGCGAGCGAGCAAGCGAGGTCTTCCATCCACTGGTTCACTCCCCAATTGGTCACAACGGCCGGAGCTGTGCCAATCTGAAGCCAGGAGCCAGGAGCCTCTTCCCGGTCTCCCATGTGGGTGCAGGGGCCCAAGGACTTGAGCCATCTTCTACTGCTTTCCCAGGCCACAGCAGAGAGCTGGATTGGAAGTGGAGCAGCCAGATCGCGAACTGGTGCCCATATGGGATGCCAGCACTGCAGGCAGCGGCTTTACCTGCCATGCCATAGCGCCGGCCCCTGAAATGCTATCTTTTACAATTACAGATTCTCTGTAGTCTTAAATCTCATATTTTAAATGTTTTTTAGATTTCACTTTTTTTTTTTTTTTTTTTTTTTGCTACAAATAGGCCGCTGTTCTATAATGTAGCTTTGCTGTTGTGTTAGTTAGTGTAATATTTTGTTGAAGTGATGTTGGCAGTTTCTGGCGAGCAATGAAAGTGCAGGGTTACCTAGGCAGGCGGGACAGAGAGAACCGGGGGCTTCCCTGAGCTCAGTTCCCCAGGGAACAACGCTGGGAGGGGAGCGCCGGCTGCCGGAGGGCGGCCTGCACGGTAGCAGCTGTTTGCGTAAACGTCTGGTTTTTGAGGGGCAGAATCTGAAGCAGAGATTTGAAGGCGTACTGAGATGAGTGCAGCCCAGTGCTTTCGAAGGTGAGGCTTGTAAGTGACCGGTAAGGCCCACCAGGCGGTGTTACTTGGTGTGGGGACAGCTTGAGGGCTCCAGGAGGAGGCAGCCGCGGGTGGCTTGTGGCCGGCAGGAGGAGGCTGGGCCGGGGGGTGGAGGGAGGGGTGTGAACAAAGCCTCAGAGGTGTGTGGGGGCGAAGGGAGGCTTGGGAATGTCTTTCGGCACCAGAGATGGGTGAAGAGTTCTGCTTGCATTATCTGTGAGCTCTTGGGCAGTTCGGATATTCATTTTGTTTGTGGTTACAGGAAAATTAACACAGCACTTCCGTGAGAAGGTGCACCTTTGTAAATGCTACTTGTTTCTCTGGAATTTCTTTATATGGGAATTTTTCATTTTTCATTTATTTGGTTGTTTTTTTTTTTGCATTAAAGCATTTGGTTCTGAAGTATATAAATACCATTTACAAGATCTGACATAGGGGCCGGCTCTGTGGCAAGTGGGTTAAGCCACGGCCTGCAGTGCCAGCGCCCCATAGAGGTGCCAGTTCAAGTCCTGGCTGCTCCACTTCAAATCCAACTCTCTGCTAATGTGCCTGGGAAACCAGTGGAAGATGGTCCAAGTCCCTGGGCCCTTGCGTCCACCTGGGAGACCCGGGTGAAGCTCCTGGCTTCAGCCTGGCCTAGCCCCAGTCGTTGTGGCATTTAGGGATTGAGCCAGAGGATGGAAGATTCTCTCCCCACCCCCACCCCCCCCACTCTGTAACTCTGCCTTTCAAATAAGTCTTAAAAAAAAAAATACAGATTCAAAATAAGTTTATTTTGTGGAATATGTAAACACTAGTAGCAGCCGCATTGAGCTGAGGCTGTAATTGCAGTTCCATCTTGTCACATGTGTAGCGATGTTGGGAATGAACTTCATTCCCAGAAAGATACTGTGTTCCTAAGAGGCATCGCATCCTCCTGGTGCTGTAGTTCTCCTATCAAGGAGAGCAGAGGCCGGCGCCACGGCTCACTAGGCTAGTCCTCCGCCTGCGGTGCTGGCACCCTGGGTTCTAGTCCCGGTTAGAGTGCCGGTTCTGTCCCAGCTGTTCTTCTCCAGTCCAGCTCTCTGCTGTGGCGCAGGAGGGCAGTGGAGGATGGCCCCAAGTGCATGGGCCCCTGCACCCATGTGAGAGACCAGGAGGAAGCACCTGGCTCCTGGCTTTGGATCGGCGCAGTGCCGGCCATGGCAGCCACTTGGGGGGTGAACCAACGGAAGGAAGACCTTTCTCTCTGTCTCTCTCTCGTTGTCTAACTCTGCCTGTCAAAAAATAAATAAATGAGAGCAGAAGGCATAGGGGAAATGAGTGAACTCTAACAAAACGGGCAGTGGGGTGCACTGGTACCTTTATAAATTGAGAATTGTTTTGCTGATTGTTAAATATTACTTTTTTTGAATTACATTTATAACATACAACTTTCACTGTAATTTTCTTCTGTAAACCTAGAATTTTTGAAAAATTACCTTATGGTGGCTTTGAGTCACGAAGTATGGGCCAGTGTGGCAAATGAACCATGTGCCACGTGCCTCTGACTCCCAAGAACCTTCCTGGTCATGTTATAAAAAGAATAATATGTATTTTTTACTTAAAATATTTTAGGGGGTGAAATATACCACAAAGTTTACTATAAACTTTTTTTTAAAGATTTTTAAAAGATTATTTGAAAGGCAGAGTTACAGAGAGAGGGAGAAACAGAGAAGGATCTTCCATCTGCTGGTTCACTCCCCAAATGCCCATAACAGCCGGAGCTGGGCCAGACTAATGCCAGTAGATTCTTCCTGGTCTCCCACATGGGTGCAGGGGGCCCAAGCACTTAGGTCATCTTCTGCTGCTTTTCCCAGGCACATTAGCAGGGAGCTGGATCAGAAGTGGAGCAGCCAGGACTTGAACCAGCTCCCATATGGGATGTCGGTGTCACAGGAGACGGCTTTACCCGCTGCACCACAGCGCCAGCCCCCGTAGTAACTCAGACCGCACAGTGCAGCGGCGTTCCGCCCATTCACATGGTTCCTGCCATCCCCCAGCCACCTCCAGAAGTCATCACTTGTGAGCTGCAACTCCTCACCCCTTCCACGCCTCCTGGCGCCCCTCCAGTTGTTGGCAGCTACCATTCTCCTCCTGTGCCTGAGTCTGCTGCTCTAAGTGCCTCCTGTGAGTGGAGTCATGGAGTGTCGGTCCTGGGGTCCTGGGTGACGCGCCCTCCTCTCAGCCTGCTGCGTCAGACTTGACCCACGCGGCAGCCCTGGTCTGGGGGCCGAGACAATTCCGTCGTCTGGGACGGCAGGTTTTGCTTGTCTGTTCCTCGGTGTCCCTTTGAATTGTTGTGAGGAAGGAGTCTCTTGTTTCATTTGTTCTGGATACAGCCCCAGAAGTGAACTGCTTCATGTGAGACCCTGTGTATAATTTGTTGAGGAACTGCATATTTCCCACGGTGGCTGTGCCATCCCACATTCCTCCCCGTACTGAAAGGTTTCTCCACTTGCTAACTAACACTGGTTATTTTCTGTTGTTGTTTTGCTTTTGTTTTGTTTTTGTTTTTTTGATAACCACCCCCCAATGGATATGAAATGGGTTTTCATTGTGGTTTATTTGCATTTCCCATATAATCAATAATGGTGAGCACCTTTCCATGTGCTTATCGACCCTTTGTGTACCTTTTCTGAAGAAATGTCCACTCACGTTTGTGCGCGGCCTATTTTTAATTGGAGTGATTGATGCTGAGTTGTGGTTCTTCCTACATTCTGTTTATGGAAACCTGTATCAGACCTGTGATGTGCACAGTTCCTCCCCTCTGTGAGTTACCTTTTTATACTCTGTTGATAATGTCCTTTCTAGCACAAACATTTTTTCAATGTTTATTTGTTGATTTTCATCTACCTGAAAGGCAGAGTGAGAGAGTAAGAGAGAGAGAGAGGGAGGGAATGTATCTTCCATCTGCTGGTCTGCTTCCCAGATGCCCACAACATCCATGACGGGGCCAGGCTGAAGGCAGAAGCCCAGAACTCCATTCAGGTCTCCCCCGTGGGGAACAGGGACCCACGTAATCAGGCATCACTTGGTACCCGCCGAGGGCGCCTTGGCAGGAAGCTGGACTCTAGCAGGCACTGTGGACGGAAGCAGCTGACCCGGTGTGCTGCGGTGCCCTCTGCACACGTTCTGTGATTTCAGGTCGTCCGGTTTATCTGGCGTTTTTTGTTTCTGATGTGAGCTGAGTCCAGTTTTATTTTTTTGAATGTAGATATTAAAAAGCAGCTTTATATTTTTGTTTATGTTGATTTGGCTATTTATGGTTTTTGTTGTATTGGTATTCCAAGGGGAGTCTGTAAAAACATGAAATAAGAGGTTGGCATAGCACAGCAGCTGAAGCCACTGCTGTGACACCAGCATCCCAAATGGGCTCTGGGTCAAGGCCCAGCCACTCCGCTTCCAATGTAGCTCCCTGCTAATGCCCGGGGAAAAGCAGCAGAAGATGCCCAAGTGTTTGGCCCCTGCCACCCATGTGGGGGATCTGAGTGAAGCACCTGGGTTCGTCCTGGCTCAGCCCTGACTATGGCGGCCATCTGGGAAGTGAACCAGCAGGTGGAGGACCTCCTTCTCTGTGTCTCTCCCTGTGTCTCTAACTCTGACTTAAACATACATAAAAACTATTTATGTACTCTTTATAAATAAAATTATTTTATTATAAATAAAATTGAACTCTGCTCACATCAGAAAAAAAGAAGATATCAATGTGATACAGGAGGAAAATACGGCTTTCTAAGAAACTAAATCGGCAGTATCCTTGGGTGTTACCTTAGAGACCCGTGGACTCCTGCCTTTTGCGATGGACATCGTGTACTTTTGTACAGTCACTTCTTCTCTTTGTTTTCTCTAACAGATTTTCCCAAGGTCAGCAACTTGTGACCAAACTAGTGACGGCCCCGGTGGCGTGCGGGGCGGTGATGGTGCCCAGCACCATGCTCATGGGGCAGGTGGTGACCGCCTATCCCACCTTCACCGCACAGCAGCCCCCGCCCCCGCCCCCGCCCCCGCCCCCGGCGCTGTCAGTGCCGCCGCCGCCGCCGCCGGGCGCCCAGGAACAGCAGCTCACTCCAGGTCAGCAACCACCTCAGGCGCAGCTGACGCAGCCGCCGCAGCCGTTCCTACAGGTAACGCCCCCGCGGGGGCAGCTCGGGCAGGGCAGTGAGCTGAGCCTACTAGGCTTTGTGAGAGATCTGAAGAATCCGAAAGCTTATTGGACAGTTGAGATTTCCACAAAGATAGAAAGCTTGCCCCGCTTAGCAATTTCTCCTCCCCTGTGCCGTCTTGGGAGGAGTGTTGGCGCTGCTGGGCATTTCCGAGTTTCTGAATGGCCGGGCCAGGGAGGAGGCCTGCCTCCTGTGCAGGGCAGGGCTGTCGGATTTCTTCCTCGGATTTTCTTGGTGGAATTTCATGAGAAATCCTGGGCGGGTGCAGTGGGTGTTGTGAATAGGAACTCGGGCCCTACAGTCAGACGGCTCCCAGCATGAGTCGCGGCTGTGCCGCTGTCCCAGTGACCTTCGGCAGGTTCCTGAAGCCAGGCTAAGCTTCCCTGTAAGATAGAGGTGGTGCTAGTTCATCCCTCATGGATAAGTAGGTAAAGCTGCTGAACGCATTACCAGGACATACGGGAGGAGTCCCTGTGATGACTGTTGGCCCGTGTTAGGAGACACTTCGATGCATGGAAGTGCACACACCAGTGTCCTAGGGCCAGTCGGGCAGCTCTCCTGTCTGCGCTCACCTAGGAGAGGTCCTCAGTGAGGCAGGCAGCAGAACTGCGTGTGGACTCGGGTGTCCCGGCCCGTGTGGAGCAGTTCTGACCTGGGCCAGCCTGGGCTTGTCCCGCTGGAGATCGCCTCGTCTGGGCCAGGCGGCAGCGCAGCCGCAGAGCTGTAGCACAGACGCTGCGGCCAGGAGACCTGGCAGTGCACGGAATGCAGCCCCCTTGGCGCCCTGGGCCCAGGACGTGTGTGATCCTCCTCGGGGCGGTGCGGGAAGCGGACACAGACGTGTTGCCTAGTGTCTCCCAGAGTTCTACTCAGCAGTATTCTAGACTTTAAGACGGTAGTGTGGCTGTTAATCACTGGGTTAGCTGTTACTCTAAATAGTAAGAAGAATATAAACAAGTTCGAATTACTGTGTGGGGGAGCTGTATCCAGTGAGGGTTAAGCAAACGCCTAAACAAGAAGACTTGCCTTAAGATCTCAGTCTTCTGAGTCCAAAGAAGGAACAATCTCATCTCCCCACTTCACCCCGAGACCCAGAAAGGAAGGAGGGCAGCACCCTTCCCAGTGCCCTCACGCGTAGGTACTGCGTGCCCGGGCGCTGTGGCAAAGGTACCGCTGGTCCAGTCCTGGAGGACCCACAGATACCCCCACTCTTCTGTACACTTCTCCCAATAGCAGAGAAAGCTGTCGAGGCCCTGGGCAAAGCTTTGTGTTCTCTCAGGCGCGAGGCTCTGTCCGTGTGTGCACACGTGCACCTGTGGGGACACACCTGCCCTTCACACCCACGTCGGGAACCACCCACTTCCGCTGTGTGCTGGAGTTAGGAGCGCTGCGGCGGTGTGTTGGTAGTGGGGAGCCACTTTGGTTTTAGGACCAGCTTCTCTGGGCTAGTTTCCGTTACACCTTAGAGCTGCAGATTAATGAGCAGCAATGAGGCGTTCCTGTGGCCAGGGAAGCCGGGGCTCACGGCACCGCGACGTGTGCGGGCCGGGCGGCTGGCGAGCTCCCGCGAGGGCAGGACGCAGACACAGGCTCCGCAGGCGCCCGCGTCACCCTGTCCTCACGGCGCTGTCACCTTTCTCAGAACCCAGGGCGCTGTAGGCAGTGTCCGTGCTGCTTTGGAGTGAAGAAACTTGAGACCCAGTGCCGTCAAGAGCCTGACAAGCGCCCCATCCGGGCGTCTGGACGGGCGGTCCGCTGCGGGGCCCCTGCTGCTCGCCAGCCAGGCAAGCCCGTGGGCAGGCGGCATTGTCGCTGCCTCCACGGGCTGGTCAGCCGCTCGGATTTTACTCTGTTCAAAACTTGAATCTGTAAGATAAAAAACAGTAAGAAATGCATACGTGTGGTTCGGCTCAAGACAGGTTGCTCTCTCTAAACCACAGTCTCCTGCTCGGATTCTGTGGCGGGCACAGCAGGAAGGAGTCTGTGGACTCGGTGGGCGAGGGAGTGCAGTTGGAGGCCGCGTGCGGTGGGCGTGTGGCTGTGGAGTAAGGCGCGGCCGCGGTCCGTTTGTGTTCCAGACTTCCAGGCTGCTGCACGGGAGCCCTTCGGCCCAGCTCATCCTCTCCGCCGCCTTCCCGCTGCAAGCGAGCGCCTTCCCGCCGTCGCATCACCAGCAGCACCAGCCGCAGCCGCAGCCGCAGCCACAGCCGGGGCGGCACAGGACCGACAGCCTGAGCGACCCCTCCAAGGTGCAGCCGCAGTAGCACACGGCTTCCTCGACGGGGCGGGAAGGGCGCGGCCCGCAGAGCTGCTCGCGGTTCCCGGATGCAGTACTGAGTTGCAGCTCCTGGGTTAGTCAGCAGGGGTGCTGCTGATGCTCCAGACGCGGCGGGGGAGGCCCGTGGGGACACAGCCGGTTCTGACCGGCCTTCAGTCGCCCAGAGACTGTGTGATGGAAAAAGAGTATATTGCCAAACGCTAGAAGCTCACCGAGGAAGTGACCTCCAGTGGATGAGGGGGCACTCACAGCGCCGCCGACTCGGTGGCTCTGTGCCTGCCAGCCGGGGTCACGGAGTCTGCTCGCGACGGAGCGTGGAGATGTCCAGTGGGTGCCGTAGCCGCCAGCCCTCCACCCCTCGGATGACGATGGCGCAGCGAGCGCTCAGAGTGGTGTGGGTTCAGATTCTCGTGCAGATGGTCTACAGTGGCGTGTGCGTGGGTGAGAGAGCGAGGACGTTCTGTGTGCTGCCCGGAAGCCCTGTCCCCTCCCTCCAGCCGGGAGTCCCTGTCCCGCGGCCGCCGCCGGTTCCGTTGTTTACAACAGTAGTGTTCCACTCGCCTTCCGGGGCACGAGTCTGTCTGTTCCTCGTGTGGCTGTGACGTCACAGTTTGTTCAGTGAGGTATAATGTGCTGCTGGGAATGGATTTTTTTTTCAGGTTAAATTATTGATACAACAGAATTTTCAAGTTATTCAGAAATATCCCTCATTTCATTATTTTTGATTATGTTTGAAAATAGGATTTGCACTGCTTTATTTAGATGGTTGGGAGTTTTGATCACATATTTTGATATATTTCATAGTTGGAAATATTTATGTAAATGGTTTTCAACAAGCCTGAAAGTAATTTCAAGAATGTTTCAGTTATAGGAGTAAATTTGCACACAAAGCATTTTAGGCACTTTCTAACGTTCTCAGTGGTGGGAATTTAACTCTTAGGGTTTGTTGGAACCTTTTATGATCCTTCACGATTTCAGTGCTTCTTGCAGTCGGAGATGATTCAGGGTTATTTGAGGGAAAACCCATAGTGCCTTGACTTTCATTCAGGTGATGACTCCCCACCGTGAGCTCGTCGTCTGGTGTCGGTAGCAGTGTTGAAACCTGGGCACCTCGGGCGCAGCGTGGGGGGCTCCTCCGGAGACGGCCGGGCTCTGCTGGGTGGGAGGCTCCAGCTGGAGCTGGAGGCGACGGCCTGGCACGGCCCCCAGCTGTGGTCCTCGCCCTGCACCCTCCCCTCAAGCCGAGTTGGCAGCGGCTGTGTGCTCGGAGCGACTGGTGGCCAGCAGAGGAGGAGGGTGGGCGCCGCTCGCCACCGAGGGTCGTGTAGCAGACGGGAACCAAGATGTCATCTGGCAATATCATATTTTAAAGGTGACGAATTCCAACACAAGCTACATATATTTTAAAAAGAGCATTTTGTAGATTTTGTACTTACAATGAAATTTGCAACTATGAAACAGAAGATTAATGGAAAATGCATTGGACTATGAAAGATTATCAGAGGGAAGGACAGACAGCAAGGTAAGAGTCAGCGTTGACCTTAGACGACGTGCAGCGAGCTGAGGTTGCGCGCAGTGGAGCAGCCTCGCGCGGGCCTGTGGGGAGCGCAGGGCCCTGCGGGGCCTCCCCATCCGCGTCTGAGGTTGGGAACGGCCATGCTGACAGAAGACAACCAAAGAGCGCTGGCACCTACCCTCCGGGAAGCAGCCTGACCAGCGGGGTGCCCAGGACAGGCACTGCTGCTGTGCCCCGCGGCGCCGCAGTGGCTCTCCCCGTGCCCGACCGCCCGCCGTTCCGTGGTGTCTGACCCGTGCCTCCTGGACCGCCGGCCCCGCTCACCTCCTCCGGCCCCGCTCACCTCCTCCGGCCCCGGCCCCGGGAGCGTTTCCCCCTCCGCAGATGGCTGGGAAGGAAGGATTGGCCTCTACGGTTCCTAGCACGCCCTTCCCCTGCGTGGAGCTGCTGAGTGGGAGGGAGCAGCCGCTGCTGCCCGCGCCGTGGGCCGGGCCAGGCCGGGGCTGGCAGAGCCGCCTTCCTTCTGCAGCCTCCCCCTGCGCGCCGTCCCCCCACCCCCCAGACCTGCGCGCCCTCGCCTGTTCCCCAATCGTTTCTGTAGCCAAAGTTGGTCTTTCAAATCCCAAACCGAAGTCACGAGAAGATACCAAATAGAGGCCACCGCGCAGCTTCCAACAGCCTCCCTCTGCCCGGCGCCCGCAGGTGTTCGGTTTTGTTAGGATGCGCGGCGCTGCTCTGGGCAGCACGTCTTCACCAGCAGGGCCGCGGGCCGCGGGCGCCTGCAGTTGCTGCCCGGGGTGGTGCCAGCCCAGCAGGCGGGCCCTGGAAATGCTGCGGGGGGAGGGGGGTGGGGAGGGCGGGCTGCAGCTCCGGGTGACAGAGTGCGGTTCTCCACTCACTTCAGTGTGGCTTAGGAATGTACTAGAAATACAAGGATGCCAGTGGTTGCGTGTAGTTAGCGTGCGAATGTGTGGCCGTGCACACCGCCGCGCCCCAGGGAGTGGCAGCCTTGGCCGTGAAGCCTTAGCAGGGGACCGGGACCCCCGCCGCCCGCACACGCGGGAGACCCCTTTAGACTGGCTGTAGCTCAGTGTGTTGCAGAACATTTCCACTACATTGAGAAAAGGCTGGGAGCTGGTGCAGACAGCGTTGTTCCTGTGTACTCCTGCTCTTGTGTGTCTGGCCATCGCCAGTCTGAAGAGCTTGTGTCGAGCCCATTCAAGTCCAGCCTGCCCAGCCCGGCCGGGGGTCCGTGTCGGGGCCGCAAACACTGGATGCTGCTGTCGCTGAGGGCGCTGGCCGGGCGTGGAGGCCAAGGGGCAGCGGGCAGGGATGGTCCGCGTGGGCGGGCGAGCCGTGTACACGGAGCTTCTGAAGTAATTGCAAAGGAAAAGAGTTGACTATTTTTATAGCATATTTAATATATTTGTATATAACTAGAAGTACGGGGACCCCTCCTCCCCAGGCCCCCCCTCCCCCGTCTCCCCGCGCCGTAGCACTCTAGAGCCGCCTCCACGTGGGTACCGTGCCTGTCGTCCGCCTACCAAAACAGTGCTGCTGTGTGAGCCGGCGAGGGCGGGCCTCGGCCCGGCAGCCTTTCTGGAAGAGCACACGCCTAGGACGGGCCGCAGGCCGCACGCATTCTGGGACGGAACAAGCACTTTATTGCAGTGATCCGTTTTGATAGGGTTTTTCTGAGCTATTACCCTTCTAAAGGATCCCCGGCTCATCACTTAGGTGAAGCTAGAAGCTGACCATTTCTGAGAAATGTCTGGGCCGTGAGCCGCGGTGGGTCTGTGGCAGCGACTCGAGGAAGCCAAGTGAGCGTTCGCCTTGCGTTCGTCCGCATCAACACTATCACCAGCCCCGGCCGGCGCCCGGGCCCGGAGAGACCACTGAGCCGGTCTCTTCGGAGGGCTGGGAGCAGCACACGCGTGCGCGTGCGCGTGTGCGGACGTGCCCAGCTCACCTGCAGGCGGGGTTCTCGAGTGCGTCAGGTGTGCCCTGGAATGTTGGCCTGTCATTTCAGCGTTGCCATTTGAATCGCTCTTGTGATATTTTTGCACAAAAAGGACTGAAAAGAAATAATAACTTTGGGTTGAAGGAAAAGAGTGGAGTCCGGTCTTATTTCCTGTCTCCCGTGGAACCACGGGGATGAGTTTTGTTGGTATGGTTATGAATTCGGGGTATTTAAAACAGTGTTGAACAGCTCACAAGAAATGCAACAAAGTTGGGTATTTAAAAATTAAAATCCGTGCTTTCCTCGTGACTGTCTGCAGAGTCTTTGTCCCCTGCCGTGACAGCGCCGCCGCCCTGTTTCTCTGCGGCGGGACGCCGCCGTGGGCTTTGCGTAGCCGACCGTGTTTGGCTGCAGCTGCCCGTGGTTTCCCAGGGACGTGCTCGTTGGTACGGCAGGGTGAAGCCCGCCCCGTCACCACCACCAGCAAACACCGAGGTGCTGCGCCGAGTGACAGTCAGCATAGCGAGTACTGTGCGCGCACTCTGAAGGGGCTGGAAGCAGCAGTCCTCTGCGCTTGAATAACAGTGGCTACATGTATTTATTTAAGTATCTCTTTGTTCGGTTTGCTCATCAGTGATTTGAGTGTCATATTTTGTGGAGTGCTTTATGTTTGCACTGTTACCCGGCCCCCCGCCTGACTGCTTGTGGGCAGTCCTGTAGGATCAGTGACTCCCTTCCAGTCTGCTCCCGACCGCCCCAACCTTCATCTCCTTCACCTGCTGCCTTGTGTTCGCAGGCACCTATCTGTAGGGTTGCTTCCCCAACACAGCCAAAGGTGTGCCCCACCCTATGGTGCTGACTCGGAGACGCTAGTTAAGCAGTCAGCGTCTTCTAATGGCTGTCACCATCCTCGCCGTGCTGACGTCCTTAAACACAGGTGAGCACTGTCCACGCTGAGCACTTCCCACAGAACACGTCTGCTCTCCACCTATTCAGAAACAAAGCCAGCCTCTGACCACAGCACCGCCCAGCGCAGCAGTGCCTGGCCGCGCACGGCCCCTCCTTGCCCACAGGCAGGGCTCGTGCAAGCTGGGGCGGCTCCTGGGGACCCCTGAGGGATGGTCACTAGAGCAGCGTGGCCACAAGTCGATTCAGTGAAAGAATGAGCGCAGAGAGTTGAATCGCTGCTTGATTGCTGAGGGACACTGACGCTGCCGTGACAGTGCTGTGTGTGTGTGTGTGTGTGTGTGTGAAGTTGGGCTGTATGGTACACGTTCTCTGCTGGCGATGGTTGTACCAGTAAGAAGTTAAAATCCAGGAAAAGCCGTTATCTTCATATTGCTGTACTACATAAACAGACAATCATTTTCAAGCAAAAAAAAAAAAAAAAAAGGCCAGGAGATCGCAATTGGAGTGTCCCCCAGCACGGCTGCGATGTGGAACGCTGTAGCGTGATCTCCGTGTGTTGCACTATGGTTTAGGTTGGGGAGGGCCTTGGTATGGCACTCACGTTCATTCTCTGTAAACATTGATGCCCAAAGACTAGGTCAGTGCTGTACTGAAACTACTTAGTGCAAAAAAGTGTTCTGTCCACTTAATCGTTACCATCAGCCGGTAGCTGTAAACACGCCAGACCCTTTGTTGTTCCGTGTGGTTCAATGTGCTGTTCTTGACATTGCTGTCCTTCCTGCTTGGTTCTTGGTTTTACACTTAAAAACAGATGTAGCTCATCTTATTTCCAAAAGGGGTGGAGCTGTAAGTGGCTACCTGATCTTGAGATAAGAGCAAGCATTCGAGTGGAATCCAGATGTACAAAAGCGAGGCCGACGGTTTGCAGGCCCGTCTGCCCAGGCCCTCCAGTGCGTATCCGTGAGCGGGGTGACGAGTGGTCTCAACGGTGCTATGTCAGGTCCCCTGATGTCCCTGAGCTGTGTTTGCAAACACGATATTGTATACAATGTGCGCGTCATTTTGTTAGCGATACTGCCATTTTGCATTGGTGTTCCCAGTCGGTCATGCCTGTTTTTCAGAGCCCCTGTGGAGCGGGTAGCCTGCCTCCCCTGGGGCCTCACCCAGCGCTCCCCCCTGCAGGCCACCACGTGCACAGCCTGTCCAAGTCCATGTACTCAGAACGCTCTCTCCCAGGCGCGTGTGACGTACTCAGACCCCTAGACCGTAGCGAGAGCCAAGCAGGTGGCATTGTCTTTTTCTTTTGTAAATGTAAAAAATAATTCGATCCAGACTTTCCTTCTTTGATTTTAAAAATAAAAATACCTCAGTGCTGTTTCCCAGTATCACCTACATTTCTCAAAAACAACACCTGCTTTATGTGGCACATAACTTGTACGAATCACATATTTTGGATTTTAAAGAAAGACTATTAAATATTTTAAAATGGCTGTCATGCATTTTCCTTTCTCCCGTTCAGCAGCGGAACCCAAATGCATTCGTGCCTCGTGTCCGGCGCTCAGGCCCCGGCCCAGACGCTTTCCAGAGCAGCGCGCGGGGCCCGGGGCCGGGCTCAGGGGCGGCACCGTGTCCTTTCTGCTCCCGGGAAGGAAGCACTGGGGACTCCTCATGGTGCGGTCACAACCGGCCACCGTGTGCGTGGTGGTGACAGAACAGAGTCGATTACAAGTTGCCTAAAGGGTGCCCTTCCCGTATCAGTACGTGCTGCCTGAACCCCTGACCCCGCGACATCGGGCGGCGCCAGAGCAAGGGTGCACCGAGCCGGGCGGGACGACGGGAGAGGAGAGGAGCGAGGTAGGCAGCGCCGGAGTGGACCCGCCTGGGAGTGGGCCGCGAGCTCAAGCTGCACAGACCCACACCAGCCCCTACAGCACAGATGACCCGGGACACACAGGAAGCAACGCCAGTACTGGGCGTACCACTTTTATTTACATCGCAGCTATGTTACACTCTTTATTCAATATAGAAAAAATATGAATACATTCATAGTATTCTTTAATTTGGTAACTCCACATTGTCAAATATTGACTGTTGCTATATTGGGTGTCCTACCCAATTAAAAAGGAAGCGTGGACCGGCTGACAGCTGTTGCTGGGTCTACTACTGGAATCACACCGGTCTCCCTAGCAAAGATCTGAGATTAAACTGCTTACTAGACAGGGAAATCTTTTTAAAAATAGAAACCAATTCATTCTTTCCCCAAGAAAAATGTTACAACAAACAAAACACCTCAGTGATCAGGAGGGAACGCACACTCCCGACAAAGCCTGCGCTCTGGACAGGAGTCGTGGGGGCGCCCGGACCCCCGCGCCCGGGACGGAACGGGAGCCGCACTCGCATGATCTCGCTGCGGCAGCGGAGCAGCCACACGCGGAGGGAGCTGGGTTTCTTCCACACACCCAGGTCAGCACAGAATCAGTGATTATCTTTGGGACATAATACTTTCATTAACTGCAGCAAACTCACAAATCAGCGCTACAAAATACAGTATCCCCATCGCTTTTAGTCGTAATGTACACTATGTACAGACAGACAAGGGCCACCTGCCTTCCCTTAGAACTCAATACGGATGAGCGAGTCTTAAAAACCAGAATCGGGACTTATAAATAGTGCGGAAAATGCGAACGCCAGAAACACGATGCCTCCTATGATTGTCACTGGAAGAGAAGAGAGGACAGTTAGAACGAGCGAGGGTCTGCACCCTGCCTGCGCGACTCCGCGGGGCGGCCCGGAAACGGCTGCCCTGGAGGGCCGTGCGGCCCAGCTGTGACGTGAGTGACGTAAGGTGAGGCTTCCCGCTGAGACCAGCACAGTCCGCACCTGCAGTCTCCACCCACGACTCCTAGTCAGACACCAGTAAAAACCAGAACTTCCTCCACTAGCACAGTGCTCCACTGCTTAGGGAGCTACGCTGCCGGAGCCGGAGCCGGAGCCGGGGATGTGGTGTGGCGGGTTAGCATCCCATGTGGGCACCGGTTCGCGTCCCGGCTGCTCCGCTTCCCATCCGGCTCCCTCCAGCGGAAGAGGGCCCGAGTGCTTGGGCCCCTGACCCAGAGGGGGCTCCTGGCTTCAGACGGGCCCAGCACTGGCGGTCGTGGCCATCGGGAAAGTGCACCAGCGGATGGAAGATCTGTTTCTCCCTCTCTAACTCTGCCTTTCAAATAAAAAAATCTTTAAAAAACTAACAAAAAAGCTACTCTGCGTCCCACAGCGCTCCAGGTCCCGCGGGCGCGTCAAGGCACGGCAGGGCTGGCGTGGGCGCCTCGGCCCAGACGCCACCACCGGGCACCGCCGCTCGCATCTCGGCTGTGCAGCCGGAGACTCACCGGTTCTCACGGAGATTTTCTGGGCTATCATCCTGCCCCCGATCACCGCCAGGCCGGTGCACAGGCAGTGGCCCACCGTGCCGCCCACCGCCACGCCGTAGGGGTCCTGGAAGCGGGCAGAGCCAGCGTCAGTCCAAGACCAGGGTGGGAGGGGTCCCGAGGGAGGCGGCTCTTCAGCAGCGCTGGGGCGGCCGGGTGCGGGTGCGGGTGACTGGGCGAGGGAGGCTCCGCCACCGCCACCGGGACCAGGCGGCCCTGAAGACGCGGGCGGGAGGGGCCTAGCGGGGGCCGGCGGGCGAAGGATGGGGCGGCGCGGACAGCGGCCCAGGGCCAGCGCACCGAGTGACCCCTGTGGGGAGCCCGCGGCTGGGGAGGGCGGGTCCCTGTGCTGAGCGGGGCGAGGCGCCACATCCCTGAGTCGTGCCTGTGTAGACGGTAGCTTCTCAGACCGCCAGAGCACGTGTCCGTGTGGAAGCGATCCTTGAGGCGCCCGCGTCCGCGCTGCGGGGAGGCCGCCCCTGCCCACGCAGCAGCGTCCGGTGTCGGGGCGCCGCCGGGGAGAGCCGCAGGGGACGGCCCAGGTGCTGGGCCCTGCGCAGACTGCAGGCTCCTCGGCAAGACGAGGGGGCGCCAGCTGCCCGGCGACACTCACACAAACAGGGAGCGGCCACACCCGTTCTCTGCAGCAGGGCTCCTGGGGCCGGGCCGCCCTCGCCCGCCCCCCCCCCCCCCCCCCCCGCTGCCTGGGCTCGGCTCAGCCCGCGAGTGGGAGGCTCGGCGCCCGGCGCCCCCCCTCTGCGGCCTGCTAAGGCGGGGAAGCAGGTGCCCCGCGGTGGCCGTACCCGCTCTCTCGGCCTCCTCTGTGGGAGCTGCCACGGACCGGGGTCAGCGCAGTCGGGGGGGCTGGCGGGCGGGCGCCCATGTGGTCTCGGCACGTGTGAGATCCCGTGCATGAGGCGGAGGCCGGGAGCCCGGGAGGGAAAGGCTCGGGGGTCACTGCTGTGCCTCCTCCGGGCACAAGGTCCCACAGCACCCACCTCGCGCGCGGCCAGCACGATGGTGGTGAGCTGGGAGCGATCGCCCCACTCGGCCAGGAAGGTGAGCGTGAGCGCCTGCAGGAAGACGGGGGAGATGAAGTGCAGCCACTTCTTGGGCGGCACCGCCGCGCCCGCGCCGGCTTCCAGGTCCGGGCCGTTCAGGAGCTTGGCTCGCTGGAACTACAGCAGGTCAACAACATGAGCGGCAGCACAGCCACCGGAGCGCCTGAAACCGCGAGTCTCGCTTCCGCGCCCGTCTGAGTCCCGGGCCGGGAGCAGCTGCACCCGGGGGAGCCCAGCGCTGCGCCCGCCCGGCGCCCTCGTGGCCTCTCCACCCGTGCTGTCCTCTCCACCCGTGGCCTCTCCACCCGTGCTGTCCTCTCCACCCGTGCTGTCTCCACGGAACCAACGCCGCCTCCCCCGGGCTGCAGGCCAGCAGCCGCGCCTCGCCCCCGCGTCCTCTCACGCACGCACACCAGCAGGCTGCGTGGGGGCCCCGCGTGTTCCCGGGAGGCCCTCGGGCCGTCCGCGGGCTGCACTCACTTCCTCGTCCTTCCTCTTGAGCTCCGCCTGCACTTCCTCCAGTTCCTCCTGGCCCTCGTCCGGGCTCATCTTCAGGCCTTCGCGGAGCATCCGGATGCCGAAGATGGCGAACAGCGCCGTGGACACGTAGTACGTGTACACCCTGGGGATGACCGTGGTGGCGTAGCCGAACAGCACTGGAACAGATGCGGGCGTGGGTCAGCGGACCGAGTGCCCGCGGGCCGACCCCGCACTACCGCCCGCTGCTCCGCACCGCAGCGACCTCGGGGCTCGCCAAGGCCCCGCCGCGGCCCCCCACGTCTTAGACTGTCGGCGTGTGGGTGAGCCGGCACGGCAGACCCTCCCAGCTGCCGCGGGGCGCCCGCTCGGACCCCGCTCGGCACGGCCGGCCGGCTGGGGCAGCACGGAGGGGCAGGCCGCTCCCCCCACGACAGCCCACTCCACTCTGACAGGCGCCACTGTGGATCTCTCTGGCCCCTCCACGGGGTACTTCTCTGTGTGGGCGGCCCCCACTCAGGGCACAGGCACTGAGGCCTCGCTGGCTCTGCCCCCCATCAGGAATCTCACTTTACAGAGAACAGTCGTGACAAGGTTCTCACGGTGTGACCCGATTCTGTCCCCTGGTAACTACTGTAACTACACCTCGTGATGAAAACACCCGTCCCCCCGCACACCTACTCAGCACCCACGTAACTCAGGACCATGTCTCTGTTGGTAAGGAAGACGACACTTGCCCAAGTTACACAACACTGATACCTGCAGCCAAATCACAAACCCAAATCCTGTGAAACACATCAGCAGTATCAACTCAATCATTAAAACTCAAACTCCTGGAGGCCCAGAGGACACTGTCAGAATAAATGAAATTACTCTGCTTCACCGGCTCTAGAAAGAACGTATGATCGGAGAGGCGGAGAGGGGGAGGGCCACAGCAAGAACCTCCACTCACGGTTTATTTTATTTATTTGTATTTTTGAATTGATTTATGTATTAGAAAGGGTTAGAGAGGGAGAGACAGAAATCTGCCATCTGCTGGTTCACTCCCCAGATGACCGCAACAGCCAGGATGGGCTGGACTGAAGGCAGGAGCCCGAAGCCTCCTCCGGGTCTCCCACATGGGTGCAGGGGCCCAAGTGCTTGGGCCACTTGCCGCTGCCTTTCCCAGGGCACAGCAGGGAGCTGGATCGGAAGTGGAGCAGCCAGGACTAGAACCGGCGCCCATACAGGATGCTGGCTTCACAGGCGTGGGCTTTACCCACTATGCCATGACGCCGGCCCCTGGTTTACTCTTCAAATGGCTGCAATGCCAGGAGCTGGGCACTCAGTCCAGGTACCTGAGCCATCGCCTGCTCCCTCCCAGGACACCCGTGAGCAGGAAGCTGGACAGGAGCAGAGTCGGGACTGGAACCCA